TTTTCTAAGGAATCTGTTGGAGTAAAAAAGAAAGAGGAGGGATTCGAGTTGTGGAGATAATCGGAGAAGTGAACGTTTGTGGGTGGGATTTTGTTAGCAAGGGAAGAACCTAAGTTAGTAAAAAAAGAGTTGAAAGAATTGGCAATGTCGAGAGGGCTTGAAATAGTGTGGTCCCCATTCACAAAACTGTCGTTGCGATCTTGTGGCATACCAATTATGCGAATGTTGTTCCTGCGGCTGAATCTCTCCAGTTTATTTAACTTCTCTGAGTGATCAGCTAGAAGTTTTTCCAATCTGCCAACTTGGAGTGCCATTTTGTCCAGCTCCTTGACTTCCTTCTCCAGGTCGTTTATCCGGTTAGATTGGAATTCTATTGCTTTGTTGAAGCTTTCTTCATACCGGTCCATCCGTCTGTGCAGATCAGCTTGGCCCTGACGTATCTCTGTTACTTAGCGCGTCCCTGACGAATCGCTGGAAATCATTGTCCATGGCCGGCGGGTGGTCACGGTGGGGATCCAAGCTCTGCGTAGGGTCATGGCTGGTCTGTTGTGGTGACACAGGATCGTGTCGATCCGCTGAAGAAGCTCGTCGGGTTTTGCATGATTTTGACCGCCCTGAAGGCATTTTGTTGGTCAATTTATCATCTAAGTGACAGTGATAATATGATGGGCCGAATTGTACCAAGCAACCGAAGGAAGAAGTAAGAAAAGGAGCTATAAATGACGATTTTTTGGAGCTCAAGCTTTCAAGGTAATACCGAAATTCATTTCGTTGATTTTGGGTGGGCCTGCTGTCGGTAACATCCGTGACATTTGACCGCGTGAAAAAAAATCCTCAGCTGTTTTCTGGCCGAACTTGTCTTTACTTTTGCACAGCATCGATTTACGTCGATTGTCAAGGAAATAACGACGCATATAAAAACCAGAGTGAGGTGAAGATAGACATCCACAAAATGCTCCGCCAGGCCATGCTCAATTTAAATCTGTTATGGTTCCTTGTAGCGCATCCCCCTACATGGATAACTGTAGTAATTCTGGCTAGAGGTAATAAATGCCAGCAAGCGCCGACCTTGCAGGAGGCGTGTTCTAATTGGGAACAAGACCAACCCGGGCCCGTCCCGGCTCCGTTGGTGAACTCTGGATAACCTGGCCGATTGCACGGTCCTCGTACCGGCGACGGATCCTTCGAATGTCTGCCCTGTCAACTTTCGATGGTACGTTATGCGCCTACCATGGTCGTAACGGGTAACGGAGAATCAGGGTTCGATTCCGGAGAGGGAGCTTGAGAAACGGCTACCACATCCAAGGAAGGCAGCAGGCGCGCAAATTACCCACTCCCGACACGGGGAGGTAGTGACGAAAAATAGCAATACAGGACTCTTTCTTCCTGTAATTGGAATGAGTACACTTTAAATCCTTTAAAATCTGCATCTCAAACAAGGTTTGTCTTAATTGTTTAAGCCATTGTGACCTTTACTCTTTACCTTTCTACGCTCAGATGCAATAGGCTTGTGGGATCACCAAACCAATGCACAAACCACACACCAATGGAAGGACAAGATGGAAACAGCATATCCATTTGACTTCGTCGGCGGGGCATAAGAAATGGGAAGAACATAATAGACATTGCATCACACTTTATTTTAGTAGACGGCAGCTATCCATGGTACAACGTACTGATACTGCAGCAACCAGCCAGAGTTAACCATGGGAACATATAACTGCCTGGAAATTACAAATTGCATTCTGTTGAAAATTCCTGAAATGTCAAAATTCGTTTGGGAATCCAACTTAAATACTGGGTCAAGGATGGCAGGCAATGCCAAATTTTAGTACTGGCCGACAAAAAATAATTTGAACGAAATTTAATGAAAGTCAAAACTGCGTGAAATTGATTTTTTTTCATCAGGCGTACCCGGCGGGGGGGGGAGTGGTTAACTTTCTTTTTCTTTTTTACTTAAAAAAAGTGGTATGGAGAAATTGAATTCTCTACAATTTTTTTAATAGTTGATGTTGGCAGGAAAACATTTTGAAGGGTACACAGAACTGCTACAGACATCAGTCTCTATTGTGTATGATTAACAGTAATACTGTCTGGGCTGTGTATTTATAATCAGATACATGTATACTAGTTCGATTATAAGAATTATAAGAAAAAAACAGACACAGAACCTCGTCGTAATCCTCAGCCCACTTGTCGTAGAATTCCGCCACGGCCTTTATCCCATCAGGTTTTTTGGACATTTGCCGAATCATCTTAATATTCTCTTCGAGATCTTTCGTTGGATCCGACATCTTTCCAAGAATCGGGGAGTATGTTTTTCCTGTGGAGACAAAAATGCAAAACGAAACTGAGCGCACCAAAACATCGATTTTTGGACCATATCCCGTTTAGCCGTTTTGTAAAGGTATGCATCGTCAAAATGGCCAGTGGACAGTGAAATTTTCTTCATTCTAGGGTGGTCTGCTTTGGGTACGAATTTCTCAAAAATTCATCTGTCAACTCACTAAAAACTGAAGGGAAAATTGAAAGAGGACACGTCGACCATCATTTTTCTGTCCATCTTGGACACTTGTGAGAGTTGTATTTTTAAAATGATTTTTAAATTAAAGGATAGGCCATTGGTGTCTATGAGAATTTATTTACAAGGGTGCGCTCTGTGCCATATCCAAAGCATAAACCATCGTGGAGATCAATGACACAACGCAGACGACAAACAGAGGATCCCGACTGGTCACGTCTAAATTGGAAGCCTTTGGGGCCGTCACTTTCGGGAGGGGATTTGCACTCAGTGGGTCCGGTCAAAGTTAAATCTCCGAACAAGGTGGACTAGGCTATCATCAGACTTTTTCCTTCTCGAATTTTCTGAGGGATGGTTTGGGGCCGGGGTGGACATGAAGAAGTGACCTTCAGAATATACATTCCCAAAGCAAAGGCTATGTATAATGTGGATGATATAAACACATGATTCATTTCCACTGACTTTTTTTTATAACTAGATGGCGAGCCGGGGCGGGTTGCAACTACATAAAGCAGAGATCAAGTTTCTTGCATACAGTCTCGTTATCTACTCTTATTACACGTATCGTTTCATCAGGCCTTGGTTTTGCTGAATGGCGTTCATGTCTACTTCTTCCACGTTCCACAAAAAATATTCAATACGACTTATGTGCTGTTTGATTAAAACAGCCTTAGGTTTGTGTGCCTGTTAATAAGGGAACGCGTCGCATCCATTCTCCTGAGCCGGTCTTAAACGGTGATAATCCGCCTCGTGATATAATTGGCCAGTGTTTATCTGTGAGCGAAACCGCTGAGCGCCCTTTTCAAGAAAATGACAGGCCCCGATATGTGCCCGTTCGCCACTTCCATTCAGTAGAAGAGTCCTAATCGGGGAACAGGCTTACTAATATTTAGCAGTAAATTCATATTTACCGTCCTCTCCCGCACGGTTCGGCGTGCTCGGGTAATCAGGGTCATTGCTATTTATCACAGTAGAACTGCACTAATATGCACGCACATAATGCTTGGCAATTCTGTGCTCGCGTCCTTAAAAACAAGATCACTCATACGCCAGTAAGCTGGACTCAACTTGAAAATAAAATCTCGGCCTTGCATGCACTCAATCATTTTGTCGATTTAACTGACGACAGTACAGACATCCTCTGCACGTAGGCGCAGGCGCCAGGCCTACAATCAACATTGTGACCTCCAATAATAGCATAAAAAGTAAAACTACCTTCAGCTCAGCCTTTAAGCCTCGACTTCAAACTGCAACTCGATGCTTGTTGATATTCGGTCCGTTTTGAAAGAATCTGTTTGCTTAGTCTGCTTCCCTCCACACAAGACTGAATGTTTTGTAGCTGGGTAACCTTCTCTCCTGGGTTCACGATCTCCGCAGCAGTTTTGCACTAGTATTTTCAAGCCAATGATTTACCTCGCATTTACAATACCTAATACACTCCCCGGCACAAGTTCCAACATGGTGGAACCCTTGGGAAGTCAAGGCCATTAGGTTTTCCCTTTCTCATGTTAACGCACTAGCAGAGCGTCGGTTCCACACCAGAGCAACTGCATCAGGCGTTGAACACGGAGTCGTCGAGTGTGGATCTTGCAGGCGCATTGACAATGCTACCCCGTCCTGCGCCGATGACCCGCGCCGGGTGCATAATTACTGATGTATCCGTGTTGGGGCGGGGCCAGAAGGGGTTTGTGCAGTGAGCATGCAACATTACCGCCGCCTGCGTTGCACCACACACTGTACGATACATGAACATGTACACTGTACATGTACTGTACATGTACATGTACATGTATTTAAGTACAGTCCATGCACACGCAGTGTACGCTGCATTTGCTCAGCCATCTGGCCATGGTTGGGTCTATACTTTGCTACGCATGGTGCATGCTCAGTGGACCGTGGCTCTGTAGGAAGAACAAACTTGTAGACAAATCGTCTTGTTGATGATTATACGGGTGTTCTGTCTTCAAAGTTCAATAATGTTTCAATTGAAATCAATCAGCACGGTCATTTATGTGCGTGTGTGTTGGGAGAGTACGTGTGCGTGCCCCCCCCCACCCCGTGGCTGCACCACTGGGCACGGTCATAATACGTGAAACCCCAGACTTCAGTTCAGAGCTATTCAACTTTCGGTGTTACGGTCGGAGAAATTACATTAAACGATGGCTGCAATAATTTATATTTGCTTTAACACAGACCTTCAAAATGCACCTTTGTGTCTCAGTTAACCTTATTTGCAGCTTTTGTTTCACTTTTTCAAAGGGTGTTTTATTATCTTTTTTGGTTGTTATATACTAATTGATATTTCCATATGCATAAACAAAGCTGTCATGTCATCCCAGGAAGAACGCCTAAATGTTGCATTGATTTGTACACACAAGAATCCTGCATTTTTGTGGATCTTTCTGGTCAGGACTAAATTTCCCCTTTTTTGCGGGTTCATTGCTGTTTATCAACAAGCAAGCAATTAGTCCCTTTCTTACAAATGTTTTCAGTCAGTAAAGTCTGGATTCACCGTTGAACAAAAAACGTATATCCTAAAAAAATCTCTCACCCCTGGATGACACAACAGCAACAACGCCCTCAGTTGTCCAGCCAAAATATGGATAATTTTAGGTGTTTAAAAAAGTGCACTTTGAGTGCATTTAACCAATCAGGAACGTAAAAGAGTTTCCATGCTTGAAGAGTACAAAGTTGCAGAAAAATTGTATCTCAGAAAAATTCATTGCAGCTTTACTTTAACATAACATTGGCTTACATAACACTGCCAGCCACAAGAGTGCAAGACACAGCAAGTTTGAGCGACGACTATCCGCCCCGAGTTGAAGTGCACCCGCAAGCAGCAAAGAAAGACAGGTGGTTGTAAGTTTTCTAAGGGTGCATTCCACCAAATGGTTGTATTTCTGCGCGCGAGCTCATTAATATTTTACGATCCCGCGGGGTTTTTACAATAAGACAGGCCATAATCAGGAGGCATCATAGAAAATATTTCTATAAATCTCAAATTTAGGACTGTTAGTCTCCAGTTCAGGGCATTTCTTTCACAAAACCCCGAAATTACGGACTTATTTTGCACAGAGGCGGGCAGCTACATTCAGAAATGAGCGCTTAGTTTTATTACTATTTAGGGGGTATCTACGTTCAAAGGCGAATAAAAAAAAATTCGTGGCTAACCCCCATGAAATTGAAACGAAAAGTGATCTTCTGGCCATAATCTTGAATTTCAAGTGAAAAAACGGAGGCCAACCTCTTCACGAGAGTCAACAGGCGGCGCTATTTCGGTCCGGTTTTGCACTGTTTTCTAAACAGACATATAAACGCATAGACCGCCGGTCTAGCGCGTAAAACCGTGATTTTGAAAAGTATGGGCAAACAATGAGCGAAGCGAGGGATGGCAGCGCGTCCAGTGCGCATTACGCGCAACGCACTTACATTGCCTGTATTTGTTTACATGTATTAATGAGCTTCCAAATACGTTCACCTTTTTGCTCTTTGGTACTGCTTTCTATTCTTTTCAAATGTTGCAACCGCATTGTTTTGAATCCGTATGGGTCAAATTAAGTTAAGAGAGGGTTTTTAACAATCGAAAAATGGCTTCATAGAATTGTATGGCCGTAATTCTTCAACTGTGCGTAAATTCCCTATACTGAGGGACGAATTTGCCCATAGTTTTGATTCTAGTCAGGCGCCGCGCAGACCACGAAAAACCCCCTTAGTTTTGACTAGGACCTGGCGTTCTATGCGTTTATATCTGTGGTTTTCTATGGGTGCGTATTTGGTGAAGTGCAACCCTAAAGTGGGTTCTTGCACGCCGCGTTCTGCGTGTACGCAAAGACCATAAATTCGTTACGCGTACTCAGCGTGGTCCGCGTCAAACGCGCCACTGATCTCCTTTATAAACGCACGCTTACGGGCTGAGTACCCTCCCCCCAAACCCACGCCCTCTTTTGTTGCGGTCAGAGCGGATAGTTATCGATAATTTGGCCAACACGCCCCGAACAATGGAGGTCACAATCTAGTCGACCATTTGGGACCAGGCCCTAGGGCATCGTCGCTACGCTGGTCATCAATTGAAACTAATTGTACGAGATTTCAATGGCCAGGTACGCTGGAGATTCGCTACAATGTGACGAGTAACGACGAGATTTTAGAAAATAGAGTCGTTCGAATTCAACTGAATTGCGAGGCTTTGTTAAAAAGCGACTGACTACTTGCCAAACTGCAGCTCGTGCCTAAACTTAATGACATCGATGAATAACGGCGATGTCAACGCGCGCGAAGCTGCAGTCAAAATCACGTCTACGCGCGGGAAGGAACACCATAAGTTATTGACCTACATTTGTACCTTTCCGCCATTTCGTTTGCTTTTAATGTTTTAATGCTTTAAGTCAGAGTATAACCTTTCAGCAAGTATAATATTCAAGGTGATAAATGAGAAACAGTCCGTGTGAAAGTCAGAGAATTGTGTTACGTGCAGTTCGATTGATCCAGTCTTTTTCTTCCTCCATCATTCGAATTAGCATCTCTAGAATTCTAAGCTTCGAAAAGAATAGTCCAGTCATTGAAGGTAACCAGCTGAATGACAAAAAAAAAATCTTCGAACTGCTCGATCGTGGCAACAACCAGTCGTTTAGTAAGGCCAAAATATTTTTCAGTCATGTCGTAAATACACCTCCTTACCGTAAGTACTCGTGAATTATGCAATGTACAAGGCAGGAAAGAATGTTAAAGATCTCATTTAATAATCCATACGTACGATGTTGTGACTCCGAAGTGTTCTTCATGACCAGAAGTAGGACCTTCGGTCCATGTTTTCCATAATCTTTGATAATAAAAGAACACGCGGCTTCGTCTCCTTTCCTAGCTCTGTTTGGTAAGGTCAGGTCCTCAATTATGATAAAGAATCACTGTTTGCCGAAAGGAGCGAAATACTTTGTCACTTCTTGAAAACAAAGAAACTTTAAAGCTGTATATTATTCACGAATAAAACTTCTGTTGTTGCTTTGAATAAAAATCCAACAAACTGACTTTGTGACTGAAGTTCAAGTCGAAACTGGGGCAAGCACCTTGATTTACGATTGTTTTGATCGCTAACCTGTAACGTTTTGGATTGTGTTTTAACAGAGCGGCCAATAATTTTCTGCATAGTGATTTTCATGGAAAGCTTAATCAACAATAACAATCAGGCTGTTTCTCTTGAGGTTTTCAAAGGGGAACAATGTCTCTACAACGTACATGTGTACGTCTTCCACTACTAAAATGTTTCGGCACGGAAAACGCCGTTGGACTTTTTGCTGTAAGACATTTTCAGCAGTTATCTAGCAACTCCTATTTTCGAATAGCAGTTAGTCATTTAATAATCACGCAGAAAAAAAAATTCGAGAAACCGAATACATGCAGCAGTTAAGATCCCACGCGGGGACAGGCCCTAGCTTTGACAAAAAGTCCCTGGAATCCATTTAAAGACGACGAATTGTATACAAGTCAGCCTCATGTGAGCCAAAATACGGGATGTTGGTCTTTTCCACAAGCTCCCAAATTCCCTTCTGTACCAGGTCACTTATGGCGTCCTCGATCCCAAAGAAAGCCTCGTTCTGTTGATCTCCGGACAGCATAATCTTGCCGACAGTGAACACCATGAATCCGCCTGAGTTATTTCACACAGAGAAATACCAAAATGTTCCACATAAGAGCTGCTTTAAAGGAACAATGCGAGGAATTTTCTTAAAAGTCATTTTTGTGCATGCTTAAACTTTTCTTCAATGTTTAAAAACTGTTTGCATCTTTTATGAGTTCAGTGAACTGTAACGTTCACCGTTTTAAACATTCAAAATTGACTACTCTTTTCTAGAGGAGGCGCTGTTAGTGTGATGTAAATCAAACTTGCGGAAAATACCACCCATTCGATCTGCGCAATTATTCTTCCCACTACACGTATTTCAAACGTTCATTGCTTGCTTCAGTAAAATTATTTGAACAGTGAAATTCGAAAAACAGAATTAGAAGCCATTTACTGCGGTGCCACAACGCTCGTGGACAGGTGGTGCGCACGCGTTACTTCCCTCTTCGACCAATAGGGTGTCGTAATTTGCCAAAATGTACGCGCGCGTCGAGCTGAAGAATTTGCGTGTGATGAGTGCGGTGCCACACCAGTTTGGGCGTCTGCAGGGTGCAAGTCCCCGTTTTATTTTGTCAGCCCGATACGAAGTCTTCCTGTTCCAACTTTGGTCATGCTTAGTCCCGTGTGTCTCCCAAAACCAACTAATTCAAAACACCACCAATGAGGTGAAGTGTTGTATCAAAGTAAATTACTTCCCCTCATTATAAAATGAGTGCAGACAACGAAAAAAAAAAAACTCAGGTGGGGTCAGTGGACTGAGAAAAACGCGATTCACCATGCGATAACTCGGGTGTGTCCCAATTTATGTGGTTTTGCACCACGGCAGGTGTCATCAATCGCAAGCAATACACCTCACAAAGCTATTTCAGTACTTTGGGGTTCCTCAAACTTCCCCCTTCAGTGGAAACCCATTTAGAAATGATGCCAATCTGATCACAACTACAATAGCAAGAACACACGAGGTTCATAATGCTGAAAGACAAGTCATGAATCCATTTTTGAACTTCTGAGTAAATCAGCTTTAAAAAAAATAGAGCTCATTACATTGTGCACGAGGCAGACATGCTCATTTCATTATCTTAAGAGCCTTTGAAGTGTTAATGTAAAAAGGATTTCAACTGTTTACAAAACAGGCCTACCTTTTTTCACTATCCGTGTCCATTCCGAAAAGGCGTCATGTGATATGTGACCAGCCGCTACGCCACCAACACATATCAAACCACTGTAATAACCTGCATGGCAAAATTGGAACAAAGAAAATCTTGGAAAAACAAAGATTTTAATTTGGGAGCAAATTGCAATTGTTTCCTGAACACAGACCTCACCTATAAAGTTTTAAAAAAAAGACACATGGATTGACGTACCATCATCGACTCCTTTCAGCTTATGTTTGCCAAGACTGTCGCATATCAGCCTTTCATAGACTCTTTTCGAGGCGCTAATGTCCAGGCTTTTCTGGGAGATATCCACGGCATCTATTCTTTTGAAGCCAAGTTTAGCCAGCTGAGTAACAGCGAGATGACAAAATGAAATACGTAATGCAAAACACTCTCAAACACTAGATGTTTGATTTGGATGCAAGCTGAGCATAAGTCCGAGAAGCTCGTCTGCTGAATTAAATGGGCATGAGAAGAGCCCTATAACCTAGCACGCCAAGAAGGTTAAACTTTGGACAATATGATTAACTCCTGACAATTTCAAACACACAACCAGTTGTTAAATCAAAATAATAATCAGCAAAAATGTACCGTTCTTTCCATTGACAGTTTGCATGATATTTTTGTTTTCCCCGACGGCAAGTAGAGCGCCCCCAGCACCTCTGTCTGAATGCGCTGGCCTATAGCTCTTCTGAGACAGCCGATGCCCGCTCGAGAAATTAGTTTCTATCAGTAAGCCGCTTATTCCACGTGGGAAGTTTGGCCAACATCCAAGGAAAATCACTGACTGACAAACGTGTAGGAATTATTGTGTGTTGTGCTATGAGCTGAAAACAGTTTCTCAAAAGCTGGTCCCTCAGAATCGCGCTGACAGGCAAGGTTGTGTTTTCGTTTGTGCACCAGAGTGTCCCTTTGGCGCATCTGAAAAGAGTTGAGTGATCCCGCTTCAAATCCGAACTCACCCCTTCACCCACTTTCCCAGTGCCCGCGGCACAGTCCACGATGAGGGCGCTCTTGTCGGGCAAGACTTTGAAGAGAGCGTCAACGCACAACGCTGGACCCTCGTAGTTTCCTTTTTCCAGGTCCTGGAGGGGGCATATTTAACGGTCAGTCCGGTTCTCTAACCAAAAGATACTATTTTGAGAGGTCGTTCGGTCTGGTCGCCGCCAACCAGAGGGTACAGAGAAAATCAAGCCTCCAGAATTCTGCGTGTAGTTCAGGTTGGCAGGAAAACATTTTAATAGTGACAATAAACATACACCATATCCCTATACATGTACATGTATACAGACATTTCTTTGTATGGGTTGTGTATCCATAATCACAGAGATTCAGTTCACAACAAGAAAGAAACAGAACATCAAGTGTTTTGACACAAATACCTCGTCATATTTCTCAGCCCACTTGTCGTAGAATTCCGCCACGGCCTTGGTCCCGTCAGCTTTCTTTGACAAGTCCCTAATCGTCTTCACATTCATATTTACATCTCTTGTTGGATCCGACATCTTGCCAAGGGGCGAAAGTGGGCTATAAACTTTCCTGTGGAAGAAAAGTGCAAAACAAAATTACACACACGTACACAAATGCCAGCTTTTGGGCACATTCATTTGACATTTCATGTACTTCCACCCCCAGCATTATCTCTTCCTTGCGTTTTGTCTTTAACCCGTCAGACCGATTGAGCTAGTACTTTGTCGGATTGCAACGGTGGGTGACGTGTCGATGTAACAAAATCAGTAGAGTAGTGCCTTTTTGCTCAGCCTTGGCCTTAAGGGGGCCATAAGGTATCGAACGATACTGTATCACTCACCTGTGATGTAGCGCAATTGGGTTGATAAGCGCACTGACAGTAACATTTCTGATCAATAATATGTATCACAATTTAACATGCAACACTCGAACGGAATCTTGGAACCAGTAAAGTAACTCAGCAAAGCTGCATCCAACCCTAACATACAAAATCAAGCGATTTTGTACCAGAATGCGATGTTTATCGTCAGGAATCACTGAAATGGAACAGTAGGATCACTTTTACAGTTTGCGATGACGTTTGGCCCTGGAATTGATAAGTGAACCTCGAGCTGGGTTCAGTCATGACAGTTTGACACCACCATGATCCCTTCGGTTCAGCGGTGCACAGCCTGTTTTAACCGACTGACTAGTATGCATGTGGAAGCCCAGATACTAGATTACTCGTACTCGGGAAAGTCCTCTCAGATTTCTATACATGAAACACGACAAACTCTGAGTGAACCTGAGATGGAATGTTTTTAAAATGGTCCCACACGAAGCAAAGTGTTGAAAAGTGACACCAATATTACAGTGTACTGGTACGTGTACTTGATTCTCCACGTAGTTAACCTGTGTACATGGTGTGTTTCCCAACTTCGTGAGCCAACTGTGTGCAGTGGCGTAACTTAAAGGGGCAAGCCCCCCCCGGCCTGTGCCCTACCCTACCTCAGAAATTAGAGAAGGAAAAAGATCTGGTGATAATTCATCTAAAGTAATGAGTGCTTTAAATGGGATCGCATCCACGGAGTGGCCCTCCTCCAGAAAATGAGTGGCCCCTTAGTTAAGAGCCCGGCTGCAAATTGTACTCTCCATAGCTCGCCGCGCCACTGCATACGAAAGATCAAGAGCGTGAAAGTAAAAGGTCACGCATCGAGCTTCCGGAACCCTCGCGCGGTCCACCTATGGGAATTTTACATCGGGCCATCCTATCACGTTTGATCATTTTTCCGAAGAATGGTTCCCAACTGAAACCACCCCATCCGGCAGTAATATATAGGAAAAATCACCTGGAAATGCGTAAAAACGAATTTCATTAACGACCTTTCACTTCCGGCGGTGTCTTACCTAGGTCTCGATCCTTGTTCGTTCACGTTTGTTGTCACCGTGCTTACGAGAAATCGAGATTGTACAACGTTGCAAAGATTTTACCTACGTGCAGTCGATGGGTTCTAAAATCCGTTGAGTTGACATGACGCAGTTCTTTTCAGCAAAGGTAGAATCTTCCGTAAAAGTTTATTACCTTATAAATTAAAAAGTCGGTAAAATGTTGTGATCTGTTTTTATTTTGGCTGTTACCGACAGACTACCATAAAACGTCAAACCGTAAATGTTCATCTGACTCTGACTACAAGATGCCACATTACACTGTTCTGCATGTACATGTATTTCAGATTTCTGGAAGTGACGGGTACATTTTTGGCAGGATATTTCTCTTTTGGGTCAGCTAATTTTTCAGTTTCTATAAATTGATACACTAGCAAATATTTTCCCAAGCTCTTTTCCTGAGTTGGATTTTTCAAGAAGTGACTGAACGAAAAGAAATTATACATTGTAACATTTTTTGTTGCTCTCTTCCGGCGGGTCGGCAAACTCGACATGTTCGGTGATTCGGTTCATTGCTATTTGCAGCATAGAACGTACGCATGAATGCACATACCGTACTTTACTCTACAAAACAAAATTGTCCTGTGCTTGATCTAGCTGGGAAGTTGAAGACTCGGAATAGGCCTACTACGAACTCTGAGTTGCACTCAATCATAGTTTGTCGATTGAATGTGATGACAGAACAAATATGCATCTGACGCAGGCCTAGAATCAGTAATGAGACGCTAAAGTACCTTCAGCTTAGCCTTGGATCCTCTGCAGTGAGCTTGACACTGTTCCTCGATATGTTGGCATCCGATCTGTTTTGCATGAACACTGCATGACGCGTGCCGCCGGGTTGGGGGTGGTGTAGCCCCACGTGAAGGGCTGTAGTCGCTCTCTTATTCAATCTGTCTCTTATCTGTGGTGGCGACAGATAAGAGACAGACCAACAGAGAGCCACTACAGCCCTATTTATGGGGCTGGTGTAACTATGTACCATTATTGAGCTACATGCATGGACTAAATGCAACCATTTTGCCCACTCATTTTCTGACACGCTTTGTGTATGCTCAGTGGACTGTAGGCCCTGCAGGAAAAATAGACTTGATGGCAAGTCGTTGGGTTGTCGTGTGCTGTCAACGAAATTCAGTAATTTTTAATTCAATCGTAATCCAGCCGCATAATTGGAGTAGTACAGGTTGCTCAGGTTTTAGAGGGGAGTTTCCTTTCGTCCCAAAACGCTTCCACGTGATTTATGCGTCCAACCATGGTCCGACTTGGCTTTTATTTTCCGTCCTAAAGCTTACGAAATACCCGACTGTCGGGTGTGCTCTGTGTTTTTTTTTTTCACGATGTGGAGGAAAGTTTGCTCAATGAGGTTTCTCCGAGTCCACTTCTCCCCATTGTTCCTGCATTGTATTCCCAAACGGTATTTCCATCTTGTAAAATAGAAACCGATTTTCTGGCAATAGAGGGAGAAATAAATTAATAAAATCCACGTGACGTTTACATTTTTGAGTCAGTTATTTATTTGGTAATTAATTTATCCCAACTGCAAAAGAATTCAGCCTCTAAGGGAAGCTACCACCTTGCGGCACACAGCCTTTCACATTATCTTAGACATTTATAATCGTATCAAACTTTTGGGAAGTTTCAATAAGGAATGCGGTTGATCCGTTTTAACATGCAACGGTGGGGGGTAGGGGCAGGGGAAACCTGCCCCTCCCCCGGAACGGATTTTTGCCCCACTATTCTCCCCTTTGAAGTGCAATCGGTATAATGTATGCACTATGAAATAAAACCACAATGTCGGACCGTGACCAAGGCTCTCGGTATTTTTTTCTCCCCCAACACCCTATTGATAAGCTCGAAGAGGCATTCGTTTTTGACAGCCCCCCCCACCACCACACACCAAAACCTGGATACGCCACTGACAGGCAACACAGTGCTTTGAATTTTGTTTCCGCGTAGATATTTCAATATGGATGTTACGTCTTCTCCTTCACAACAAGATGGAGTTATCGCAGGCAAATAACGAGGCTTCCCAAGACAGTGTCTCGCATCACAGTTCTGAAAAATCAAATCCCCTCAGCTGGAAGCCACACCTAAGCATATCATCTTCAGCTATTATTCTAACGTTAGAACCAGTGACTGAAAATTCTAACTTACTTGTGGAATACGGGCGATTCATAACAGTGCGCCTCCAAGAGTTTGCGGCGTGTTGGCCAATTACAACACGCGAAATCTGTCGATCCCTTCCAGACGCGCAATGGGTCGACAGATTTCGTGCACTGTGATCGGTCAACGCGTTGCAAACTCTTGGAGGCGCACCATTGCGAAACGCTCATATTCTTAAAGCATTTGCGCAGGGAATCTATGGATATATCAGTGAACCGCATCCTTAATGTGAAAGAACGCGCTTGTTGAGCCATCAAGCCAACGTACGCATGGCGTATTAAATCTGTATAAAAATCACAAGCGAGTCACTAGCTGCGGATGTTCTGCAATACGAGGAGAAATTTCAGGGCAAAACTAACATTTTAGTCCATACGTCTTTGTATATACTGAGTTGTAACACAAAATGGGACCAGTTTTCGCTTTCCTACTCTCTTCCGAAAAAAGAGAGAAAAAACTTGGCTTCATCTTTTTCAAATTCGCTCGATTGATATTTTTCCAAGTTTGAAAATAAGAGGATGTTTTCCAAGAGGAGCATCGAACGAGCATATTTAAGATGATTCATGCAAGGCGTCTTTTCGTTTGGCTTGAACACATATGCCTGAAATGATTCTCAGGCGCAAAAAAGAAGGGTAAAAAACCTGCATACGAGTCCGCCTCACGTGGTCCGCCTCACGTGAGCAGAGATACAGGATGTCGGTCTTCCCATAACCTCCAAAACTCCCTTCTGTACCAGGACAGTTGGTGATTATTAACAAAGAAACAAAAAGAAGAATATATAGCTAGCCAAAGATGATATAGATCTGTTCTTGCAAAAGATCCAAAGTTCTAAATCAACAAATTCCAGTCATTTTGAGAAAATCTTTAGGGAAAAGTTCCTTCCTGCTTTAGAAAACGTCCGCCTATGAGTGGAATGATCAAAACCCCATGACTATACCATTAACCGTTTATAGAAACAATACATGTAATACCGTACGCAGGAACTTATCTGCCTCCATTGCAAACCAAGGAAACAATGAGGGCAGTGTCAGTCTTAAAGTGGGACGGAAAATATCCCCTAGTATGCTAGTCCAAAGCGACCATTGGTATGTGCTGATCGAACGTAACTCCATAAACTTTGGCCTTAATTAGTGGAAGAAGAGACGAAAGTGATTAAGAGCAACTATGAGGACGCCAACTAATGACATCGTTAAGACAACAGAGAGAATTAACAAATATGATTGGTCTACCCTTTTGTACTATACTGTATCTCCGTCAATTATAATGTTTAGCTGAAAGAGCACCGAGAAGTATCAAACGCTGTCGGCAAAAACGTGTTCCCCTCGAGTGGCCGCTGATTGACACGTTTCATAATCAGGAAGATCATTACGGCATGCATAATGTCCCCCCTCCAAACGGAAACACGAAGCCAAATGACCGAGCTACACATCTAAGCCTAATTTGTACTTTTTCGACGGGGAGCTCAGGATTTCAGTTTTACATACCATCGTCGATCCCTTTCAACTTGTTCTTGGCAGCTATCCGCTCAGCCTCTCGCAGACTCCTCTCAGAAGCAAATGTGCTTATGTCTGCATCCACGTTGACAAAAGTACATGACTTTTAGGGACTCCATCTGTGTGGAAATAAGAGGGAACAATGTGACTCTAGACTGACGTTGACCGATTACTTTGGAGGGTCAACCTGGGACGGATGAAGGCTACATTTGTTCGGTATCGATATTTAATGGGTCAGATGCGCATGCACGTAAACTAAATCTACAGGTCTGAGTGTGGAGCCCATAGACCTGGCCTGCGAGACGCCGACGATCCACTTTGCGATTTTCGGATTTTCGTTTTTGTTGTGGATAGCACCATCGCACAACAACAGTTTTGACTTTCACTAACTCGCGCAAGCACACTGATGGGGCGCACTATGCATATACACGATCTGTAATCGAGCACTATCGTCTGAATTGGAACCAAGATTAAGGAGGCTGCAGTAGCTCTAAAATATCGAAAACAACGTCTGAAACGTGCCGGGACCCCACGCATGATGTTATTTCCAACAGAAATCTGCCGACGTCGGTTGATCGGCCGATTATTAATGTCAGCCACTTTACCATGTCCGCTAACCGTATCATTTGAGAGATTTTACGCAGCCTCACTAAAAGAACCTCCAAGAGTTATCCACACCCGAAGACTGTTTCTTTCCGTTGTTTTTCTGGGCCTTTCAGTGTATGGTGGAAACAGTGTGTTGGGTTTTGTCCCGTGTGAGGGCCTAGATATCCGGCAAGCTCACTTGTACGGGCGGATTCACCTCATGCTTTCACCACGGAGGAAGGCCTTGTGTTCTTCCTCCATGCTTTAACATTTCCCAGTCACATACTGGTTTATGTAGACCTGCTACGTGTACTTTTCCTCTCTGTCATGTCTGCTGAGGCCACGGTGAAGCAAGAGACGGCATCGACCAGGACAAGTTTGCCGGTGCGTTAGGCAAAAATGTCGAATCGACTCAAGTATTTAGCTCTAGTCGACTCGGGTCACAAATATTTGAGCCCAATACGATCAATTAAAACAAAAGGTCAGTTTGAGGCATTTTCAAATTTACCTCTAGATTACAAGTGTTTTGTTTTTTAAACAAAGAATGGGTGAGAAGGAAAGAATGTGTCTATTTATTTATCAAATATGAACACCAAATCCCTAAGAAAATAACACCAGCAAATACAACCAAGGATGTCGGGACCATGAGTTAGACTTTTGATGTTTCTTCTCCACAACATCATGGGAGCGAAAACGCATTCGCTTTTGCCCCCCCCCACCACCAAATGCTGAATACGCTACTGGCAGTCTCGGGGTCCACTGCCCGACACCATGGGGAAAAAGCTGGGTTCATCGTATCTAAAGAGAATTTGCATGACATGCGGCCGTCTTTCAGGTCAATCCTATTGATCTGCAAGGACACACATGAGTCGACCTATCATTGTGCACTTCCTTGCATGCGTATAGGCCTATATAGGCCTTTGTATATAAAATTGAGCCAGATCAATTCTTCATAAGGCAAGGTCATCCGAGACCAACGCACACCGGCGATTTATTGGACAAATGAAAGGGAAGGTCCAAGCATCGTTGGTTTCCACCTGAATCCGATATTTCTGCCGCTGATCGTGTAAAGAGACAAAATCATGGCCTCCTGCGGCGTCCCCCAGACACCCTCGACAGTCACCAGCGAGAAAGTGCACAAGACCTTCTGCATAAGTGCTGACGAAAAGCTGGACTTCTACGAGAAATGGGCCGAAAGTTATGACCAGGTCAGTAACGAAGCACACCCCACTCTACTGCCCGACCAGCCCTTCTAAATGAAGCTCACATTGCGCCCATACTTTGAGTTTCTTACTTTCCTATCATGGGCAAATTTCATAGAGCTGCTTACGCACAAACTTTGCTTAAGCGGAAAACAATTTGCTTAATAAACAAAGGTTACCAGCTCAAACTCTATCTTATAGTCATTCTAACCAAAAAAAAAAAAAAAAAACACCAGCTAAATACGATCCCAAAACAATATACATAACATGGAGTTTTGGCTGCTGACCTGATATATCATGTAAGGTTTTTTTTTTCACACTTAAGCAAATTTCATGCTTAAGCAGCTCCATGAAATTGCCCCAGAACACAGCTTATTTTTGGGCACGTTATTTTCTCCTTTTTAGGACGTCCAAAATTCTGGCTACGAGGCGCCTCGACTATGCGCCGAGGCTATTGGTGAAGTTTTGATGGACAAAAGTGTCCCCGTTATCGACTGTGCTGCAGGCACCGGCATCGTGGGTGAAGAGGTATGGGCTGTCTTCTCTTTGACCATCTCACAACTAGACTATTATAGACATTGTTACTGAGGCTGTCCTGACCCGGAGATGGTTGTTACATTGTGCTTTGGCAAACAAGCGAGACGGTGGGAGTGAGGTGCAACCCGTGGAAACTTATCGAACACACCCAATACATGTAATTTCGTTATGTATACATTATAGTGCCATTAATTAGCACATTAACACACACATCTACCAAAGTACATGTATTCCCATTCATAATTTAGACTTGTATCATTCAGAAAAATCCCCCACATTTCGTAAGCAGACTTCGCGGTTTCCCATTCTTTTCCTTAACCGTGTTTACGGGCCACTGTCAAATGACCTCCTTATTTCCTGCTACTCGACACTATGGTGTGATTTCAATGAATAAAACACCAGACTACCGACCAGACGAAAATGGCCAATATTGTCAAAGGTTCGCCCTGCAAAAACGACATGGTCCCAGGCACTATAGTCATTTGCAAAAGTTTAGGACCCTCCATACAAAATGCATTAACCTGGAGGAAAACCAAACTGAAACCAATCAATCATGGCAACTTGTATTTATTTTCAATGTGTAACCTTGTCAGCTTGGTTAAACAGTTATTTGAATACACTTTCACGATTTGAAATGTTAACGGTCTAATGATATTTTGTGTGCCCTCCTATATGATTACGAAGACCGGCTTATTATTATTTTTGTTTTTTACCAATGGTGCCTTTCAGACAAAATATCACACAAGACCCGCCTTCGCAATAAGTTTTATTCCAATGGGTATATAGCACTACACTGATGTTATGCACCACTGTAAAAACAATGTCAAGTAATCACTCAATGAGACAATGTAATGCAGGCCCAGTGACAGAAATACCAATCAAATTCCAGGTGGTCTTAAACTTTTGCAAAAGACTGTACTGGGTTCCGTACGACCGTTTAATGTACTGTAATCGAGCTGTCTCTTTTTACCTCACAAGTCCACATTTTCTTGCTCTTTTAACTACGCCTTTGCTATTTCACCTGCTCCTGTACTCATTTCTTGCTCTCTTCAGTACTCTTTTACTCAGTTCTTTCTCGTTCGTTCACTTAGCTGGTCATTTGCTCCTTTGCCCCTTTTGTGAGGACGACCCTTCGATTTCGTTGAGATTCACTTCAGAATATGTTTTCGTGTATCGTCCTATGTTAAGGCACTTTCTACTTCTTTTTGTCAATGTCTGTTGTTATCCACAATAAAACAGTTTACCCTATTTCAATGAATAAAAGAAACATTCACAGCTGCACAAACGTATAGTTATATGTTTGTGTAACAAACAGTGTTCATGCCTGTTCATAAACTTAAATAGACACCACAGGTGTACAGAACAAGTCACTTGCAGCGTCGTTAAATTAAATCTGTTGATTTAATTCGTTGATTTAAATCACTGAAAGAAATATCAAAGATAGTTCAAAAATTTAAAAATCACGTGTTCACATAAATGCATACATGTATTTGAAATACGTAAATCACATGCAAATTGGTAATATTAATGCCAATGTCTATTGTGCATGTACAATTTACATGCATGACATAACATTTATTATGATTTGCATAAATGTGAGCATTGATGAATACTTTCCCCAAAGGCTCTCGAACAATTTTACATGTTGTTCAGACTTCAAAAAGCGGCAGCTGAAAAGGCCACTCAACACAAACGTACAAAACTGGCATCTCTGTATGAAATTTGTGCATGATGTGTTGCCGGAAACAAAAGTACAAATGCCAGGGAAAATGGATGACAGACAATATGCAAGAACTGCTGGACCACTCAATAGACTAAAACAGAATCATGTTAAATGACAAACTTAGCTTCTTCTGTGAATTCTATACTGAGGCACGGAGATCCATGATGTGACATGTTTTGAAAAATTCAATACGCATGAAAATCAAGTACCACTATCCTGTTCTGCACACTCACACAGAGACACAAGTAAAAAGATGAATCGATTTAATTTTAAAAATCTAATTTAATTTTGTAAATCAAATCAGAAATTTTAAACAACAAAATCATGATTGCTTTGTTTTTCCTTGTGTCAATTCTTTCACTTCCCTCAATAAGAAACACTAATCACAAGTACTAGGACACGTTGGACATCATTATACAGAGAGATATTTACGCTTTCCTCGCATTCTCTATCAGCTGGCTAAAGTTGGCTTCGTTACAATCGATGCCGTGGACTACTCCCAACGTAGTTTGGACATCAGTGCTTCGAAAGGAGTCTACAAACGGCTTATCTGCAGCAAAATCGACAGCAACAAGATCCAAGACATCGCAGACGGTACGATAAGGTTGACTAATAGAGGGGAGTTCTTATTATTAACAATTGGCATTTAATAATAAAGACAATCATAATTCCCAACAGATCAACACAGAAGGTGATCATAATTTTTATTGTTTACAAGCTGGATAGGTTTTGTCATGCTGCTTATTAAAGCTGATTGGCCTTCAGTGAAGTTTTGAATTAATTTAAAATATCGGTGCTGACCTACATATGCTTCCATGGTTGAGCTCCAACCTATCTTAGCCAACTTATCGTAAAGAATACCTCTTCTTGTTACATTCTTGGCACTGCACTCACTCGGGGACTGGGCCTTTATTAACTGCTGCTCCAAAACTTTGGAACGCCGTTCCCGTACACATTAGAAGGGCTGACAGCTTGGCCACTTTTAAGACATTATTGAAAACGTACCTGTTCAAAGCAGGACTTCTATTAATTCCTAAGGGTGTCAGCGTAAAGGGATCACCGGGTGGTCGGAGTGTTAAGAGAGTGTCTACATTGTGTCAGTGTGAAGGGATCACAGGGTGCTCAGGGTGTTAAGAGAGTGTCTACATCGTCTACTTGTCGTAATTCTTTTGTGAGGGGGTCGTTTGTTGATTCTTTGATTTTTGAGTCTTGTTGTCGAGTGTTGAAATACTTTCATATTAACTTTTAAATTTTTACTTTTCGTTTCATTAACATGTGTTGAATATCATTTCGTTTAATGTTATGATGGAAAGCTTATTATAGAATTATATATTCATATATTTGCGCTACACAAGTCAATAAAGTATTTCATTATTATTATTATTACCCCTGCTCACTGGACTCATGAAACAGTCCAAATACCATCTCAACTCCCCTGAGAGTATGTGGCACGCAGTGCAGTCACTTCGGCAAGAAGCAGCTAAATCGACTACAATAACCACCTCTGCCCTTACGGGCACCAATTACCCCTGGATGGGGAGAAGCAACGAACGCAAATAAAATGTCTTGTCCAAGGGCACACGACCATGATCCAAGGCTGGATTTGAACAGGCAACGTGTGGTTTTACCCGCCAACTACGAATTCAATGCTCTTATAACTGCGAGGCCACCACCCACAGTCTTTGTTCTTTCGGTACAAGTGTGCCACAAGACAATAAGAAGAATGCTTCGGAAGGGACACTTTTGCTTGTGCGTAGACAGAGTCATTGGTCACGAGAAAATTATATTTGGCTCTGCATGTGAATGAATAAAGTATAATTTGAGTATATGCACAATATTTCTGAGTGTCTGATTTACAAGCTGCCGTGACATGTTTTGAAACGCGTCCAACAACAAAACAAATTCGGGTTATGCGTGTGCATGCGCATTTAAAACTTACAAAAATGCACGCCGTCCTCGTCATTCTACGTTCACTGAAATTTTGGCACTAGACAACAGAAAATAATTTCCCTTCCTATGTTCTTCAAGCTACGTTCCACAAGTTCATATTTTGACAAGTCTCATTTTCGTACTACCAGCTTAAGATCTGTGACTTCAATTTTTACAATTCCTCATACATGGAGGAGCTGACTCACTTTAAGTGTGTGCAATTCGACTTGTGCGAAAGTCCACTTGTATCGCCGTAACGTATCTCTAGCTCTAAGCAGTTCTCTTGGAGTCGTCTATTTTTCATACACTTTTGTACTTTCCATTGTCAGGTGCTTATGGTGGTCTCATCTGCGTTGGCGCACTTTTGTTGAACGACATCACTCACGAGGCGTTTCCCGAATGGAACAGAATCGTCAAAAAGGGTATTGTCAAAAAGTGTATTCGTACCTGCCACTGTAGAAAATGCCCCAAGCCCCCCCCCCAAAAAAACCACGTTATCTTATGAAGTATATTAATTTCGAGGATCTGGAAACCAGTTTGAAAATTCCCTTTCGTCCCTTGATCACGTAACATAGACACGCAAAAAAACTCTTCCCGATTTGCACATGAGCAATTAAGGTTTTCCTCTCCAACGGACATTTTTACTAATAAATCCATAATCATATCTTATTGAGAGTGAACGGCATCAAAGCTTGCACCGCTGTACATTTTCAACTGGCTGCTCACGGTTTTTTTGCATAATTTACACGCATGCGTGCATAAAAAATAACGAATTTATTGGTGAAAAGGTTCACGTACCTCACTATATGTTGAGGATGTGACCACGCACCTAGTAAGCTGAAATATTCCCTCTTATCAATTGCAGGCGGGTTCATGGTGTTTACTCTAAGCAAGATAGAGTACGACGATGATCTCCCCAATCACAGGGTGATCATTGGGGATGGCATCCAAAAACTCATTGACAACAACATCTGGGAGTTGGTGAACAAGACCACCATACCTTACCACAGTGGATATCTGGCCGACATGTTCACAATTCGCCTCCTTTAAAAAAGCAATTGTAGTTGTAATAAGCTCACGTTGTTTTTCTCCCAGCCCGAGGCAGACAAAAAAAACTCGACTGGGTGAAGAGGGGATTCAAAGGTTTACTTCAGTTCAATTTATTCCTGTATAATGGTAAGGCAGGTTCTTTCTGGTTTCTCAAAACAAAAAAAAAATTACCGGTACTGAAGCTGTAGGGCTTACAATTCCTTGATCTTGTCATTGAAATGTACTCAACAATTGCTGTTGTCTACATGTACAATTCTGCTTCCCATATGTTGTTTCTGAACAGTGCTGTTTCGTTTTCACCGATTTTGCTTTGAAAGTGATTTGTAATGATAGCATTTAGTAGGAGTACAAGTCTTAAAAAATGAAACAATTTCAAAAACAAAACAAAATGTCCATGGCAATGTAATGCCAAGTTTAATCAACTGTGTACTATTTGCATTCACGGATGTTCTCACTTTGCTTCTGCAATTTGTGCGTTATAAGTATTTGCTCGCACCTTGCATTGATGTGCGGTTCTGTTACAGACTAACGAAATTATGTTTCAAGCCAAACTTAAATTTTAAATGTGAGAAGGATTTGATGACACCATGCAACGTCTGCCTTCATTGAAGTCAATTCCTCGAAGGATAACCTAAATATTACTAACGAGCAGTATTTTGACAGTTTTAACCATGAGGGCGAAAATGTGACATTTCGAATCACAAAATTGTCCTTGTCAAGTTGCTGGTTTGGATAGCTCTGCCGCCTCGTGATCGTGGTTTCCATCACACTTGTCTTAAAAAGAAAGAAAAAGAAAAATAGTTGATCTCTGCTACTGAATCAAGTGTACAGGTTCTTACATGCAGTGTCCCTCGGGAATTTGTTCTCACACCTGTCGTATCTATTTACATAAATAACAATTTAGCCATTCGCGCTGGTGGAGGACCATGGTTGATTGGTTGGTGTGTTCATATAGCGCATGCGTTCGCCCTTTATGCCGTTAACAGAAAAGGGCACTAGTAGAAACTATAGAGGGCGCAAGGTCATACCAGTGTCGCAAAAATAATTAGGTAATAACTCTGTCGGTAAAAGCTGGATAACTGTAGGTGCAGGCATGTATGTATTTTTCTATTTCAAAATATCAGTGTATGCTGACAAATGCTACTCTCATGGTATCACAGAACAAAACCAAACAAAGGTTGACCAAAAATTTGAAATTTATATGACTAGTTGGCTCATAGACTTTAGTGAATGATTCAACTCGAGTCTGACTTGAGTCGCAATTTCTGGCAACTGAACAGGTAAATGGTCAAGTACTAGACTCAAGTCCAGCATGCAAATGAATTGACTGGTCTGGAAGACTGGACTTGAATGAAAGCTAATAAGACTTGATAAAAAAATAGCTTTGCACGAAATATTTGCAATGACTTTACAGTGCTGGTTTATCAGATTCGTGTCATATTGCAAATACTGTATCCTATATGCATAAGAGCAAGTGTCGACGTCTTTCCTTGTCAACGTCTGTTGTCTTTTTTTTATGGTACAACAAACATCATGTCATGAACTCCAACCTTGTGGCTCTGTAGCATGTAATTCTAACTCGGAACCAGACTCCAAATGCATTTCTCAATGCATGGTTTCAATTATCTTGGCAATAAGCATTTTGCAAGTTAAATTCGAATAAACTCTTTACATTCACGTTAACAATTTGAATTCTCTAGACTAAAACCACCATTGCAATACCTTGTGATTTGGCCAAGTTTTTGCTTTGTTACATAAGAAACTCCTTACAAAAATACACTGTTCTCAATGGATAAGAAGGATACAAAGGAACAGCCCATTCCAGGGATGATGGTCGCTTAATGCAAAAGCTTGCCCCCAAAATGATACACTGTAGCTGGGGAATTCATATCATATGTGCAATCAGATACCTCAGTGTACATGTATCAGACTTCATTCACATTTAGCTCACAGACGGCTTATTACTTTTTAGATGAGGCTCTTGGTGTAACGGCAGCTTTACGTTTATGGTCACACAGGACCCAACTTGCAGACCAGCTACTGGGTTGATTTTCCTCAAACTAGGCTGAATGAGCTAGGTCTGTCTGTGTACACATGAATTTTCAATGAACTTTACTTTCTACATTGGATGGTAACCACTGGCACCCTTTTTAGTTTTGCGAGGAATTTGTTTTGTATTCAATTATTTGTGACTCGAGTTGACTTGAGCTAGATACTTGTCTCAACTTGACTACACAATTTGACTCAACTTCTTTACCCTGAAGATTCGACTCAGCTCAACTGCACATGGTAATTTGACTTCTCTATTTGAAGACTAGACTCACACTAGCCTACATGATTTTAACCTAGTGACTAGAGTCACTAGGTAAATGACTCAACTTCAATCACAAAATTTAGTGACACATTACAACTAGCATGACTGGGCCTAGTCTGTGACATGAATATTATCTTCGCACCGTGGAAATTCTGAAAGACAAGTAATTTGTTCAGTCAAAAGAGGAGACTGGAATCTTGTGTAGACTGGAATTATTTTTCAGTAGCGGTACTGTAGGCCTAACTATGGTAACCGGGTACATGTAGGCTTATGAGGTAACGTTCCGGTAAGACCAGGTTGGACGTTATCTTCATTTCATTACGACTGAGTAGTACGGTCAGGGAGTCCACCTTGGCTAGGTGAGACCCAGCAAAACTCAGTCACTAGTTTGGGCCTATACATTAACTTCCGAGTGACAAAATACTAGTCACGTTATTTCCTAAAAACTTACCTAACACACGGGAAACAGTCCAATGGATGTGGTGACTTTTCTCATAGCTGAATGTCTGAAATATCTAGTGTTCTTTCAACTGTCACGATCGATTCTTGGAAGTTGTACTCTCCATGTGATGTTAACTGTGTTCTAAAACTACATGTAACTATGGGGGAAACTCAAAATGGCTGCCTAAATTCCGTTTTCTTACGCTATACCCCATTGGTCAAAAGTTTCTAGCGATTTTTTTTTATTTAAGACTAAAGATTATAAGAACACAAACTTACCCTTTCCTTATTTCTTCCAAATTTGTGGCCTTTGGTTAAGCTTGCAAGGGAAAATTGCTTGTAATCGCTTGATTATATTCCCAAATCACCAACCACGATTTTTTTACGATTTGGTCCTACCCTGTTGTCCACGGTGCAGATCTGTTAGGTTGAATAAATTTAGCATCACTGGATGCTGGCAATTACATAATTACACTACAAATTCATGTATACTTGTAAATTCCGCAACCACTCTTCTCACAGGACGGTGAATAAAGGATATCCATTATTTAAAACGCGAAAATAATCCTGGCGCCAACGCCATTTAGAGACACTTTGTTTCAGAATATTGTCGAAGTTAAATATCACTCCGCAGCAAATGAGGGCGTTCAGAGGTGATTCCCAAGATTTAGTAACTTTCCGAGACTCTTCTGTCGCAAACGACCGAATTGATACATACACACAAAAGTTACGCGATCTGAAAAGTTGTAGTGAAATTACAATTACAACGTTGGCACTATATGGAGGTCAGTGGATGAAGTTCGCTGTGATCCGACACGACAAAGGTCACATGCAAATCAGCGGTAGCGATTTCTTACGTCATATGAAGGTTGGGGAATTCCCTGAGCACGCGTCTGCATATTTTACTTGTCAGGTCTACGAGTCGGGGGGGGGGCAGTGGTTAGTTATTCGTTAAGGGTGTATACAGAGAGCGGTACAAAAACGTTACATCTGTTTCTTGCTCTATGGTCAGATAAAGTATCAAAAGACAAAATAAACTCCTTTTGCAGATTAATTAAGGCTAACTAAGTGGTTTAGATAATCGCTTTGTGAGCCAAACTTAAGTGGTTCGTATCCTAAGACTGCACTTGTAATTCAAAATCTACTTTTTTCCAAGTGTCAGCATGATGTTGGAGTTTGTGTGTGTTTGGAATTGTGCAGTCTCCACAAACAAACTGAGGATAATTAAGGCTTGCTTGAGCGAATTGTGATGCAGGAACAAAAATCACAGACCTGCTATGGCTCACCGCCCTTAAACAGCACTGTGAAGGGAAAATGCATAATGTAAGTTCTGCCAAGCACTCAATGGATAGAGTTCATTTGAATTATAAACACAGGTCAACATTTCCACATGCACAAGACACCTGCACTGCATCATGCATGTGCATAGATATGACACTGACAGCTTGTAACCCATGAGCCTTTTTTTCAGCACACAAGCAGTGTGTTCAAAAATATTATTTTAAATGAGGGAACTGTAAATCAATGCATAAAAGATTTAAAAAGTATTACAAAGTATACAGACCGATAATAAAATAACAACCAACCAGTAGTACATGCACAAATACCGACTCTTATATGTTACATGTTGTACTTTCCTTTATAAATGACCTTGGAACTTGCCAAACCATACAGACGGGCATGTTTCTCCTCTTGTACCCTGTCTATTTACCTTTGTTTATATTGCTTAAACTCTACATTGGGCTGTATTTGGGCCTTATCTATGTAAGCTGCACAGCAAACAGGCATGGTGCCCACAACGGTGAAAATCTCCCATTAGGTCTTTGCACAATGTGCCTTAACTGTGTAGGATGTCTGTTTTACCAAATACAGGAACTCCAACCAAAAACTGCAAACTTATGTACATATAATTCTGAGATGTATTCAGTATCCACCCATAAAAGTATACTAACTCTTTATTCAGGAATATTAACACAATGGCCAATAAGTATTTATAAATTAATCTCTAAATAAAATTTTAAAGGCTGACAAGTTTCAGGGAAACATTTCAGTTAGAGCACTCTCAGTTTTGAATCCATAAAAAAACTGTTAAGGAATTGATGCTTGCAAATTTTCACACAATTTTTGATTGAACGAAGTTATGCTACATGGTAATTAACTGGTGGAGTGTGATACTTTTACTTCAAAATGAATTTTCAGTGTTATTAAAATACAGGGTAGTTTTGGAGAAGGGCAGTAATAAGAAATAAGAATACTGTTTGACAATATTCACAAATGATGTCAACATTCTCCTGTGATGCTTTTTAGCATAAGGTTAGAGTCTTCAACAGAAGTTTTCTTCACTTGTCTACATGTAAACAACATAGGTACATGTTAATATGGCTGGGAAGTAATGTCACTGGCTACGGCTACTAGATACACCGTGCCTGAAAAACTGGAGCCATAGCCGCAAAAAAAGATGATTTGGGCACAGTTTCTAACCCCTTTCACTCGGCCATCTCCTCCTTGACTAGGGCTGCCAACCTCTGCATACCCTGGAGAATAAAAAATACACACCAAAGCACAAATCAGTGCACAAGCATCTACCATGGAGAACTACAACACTACCCTACAACCCCAACCCCCCCATCCCCAGTGCACACACACCCACTCTCGCAAAACTACATGTATTCAACATGGGCAGTGTTGAAGGGTAACAACTGGGCGACATTCCTCTCCGCTCTGAGCAGAAACAAAAGAGGGCTTATTTTTAGATGAAATGGACAGTATGTGTACTTTGGGACGACCTAAGGGCACAGGCATGCAAGTTTATGCGCCTTTGACTCAGAACATGCCGAGTACGCACAACAAATTTATTCTGGAGTGTATGGTCTTTGCTAGACTTGACTCGTCGGGATCTCTGTGATGTGTTCGTTTATGCCTTTGATACATATCAAGACCACATGCTGTTACTTGCTTCACGCCCTCTTGTGTCCACTTATTACTATGAGTTCAGTTCAGAAATCCGGACTTGACAAAACTGCCAACCGTTTGTACACAGCGAATTGGCTCATCTACTTGATTTTACGTCGTTCATACCTGTAATATAATGAACGAGTCTACAAGTCTGACTACTTTGATTGGTGGAAATTCCGTATACATTATACAAGACCATGTCATTCATATGCAATTATGAACAACTACATATTACCGACGAGGGGTCCGATTGGCTTAACCGTCAAGTCAGACTTACTGACTGGTGACGTATGACACATGTTGTATAATAAAGGCTATCAAATAAGGGCGCCTTATTAGGGTTATGCAAGCTGCCGGGCCAAGCGCGCCGACCATGTAGTGCGTACTGGCTCAAGAGATGGATGACTGGGAAAGAGCAGCGTAAGTCCAACTTGATTTATGTCTAGGTATTTGCGTGCATGCCGAACGCTATAAAGAACCCGGTTGGAAAACTTTGTATAAGTCTGTCTTTCTCTCTTTCGCGGTGAGAGTGCACTTCAACTCAGGACAGATTGTGTTGACAGATAGTATCGTGATCTGTCAGTGGATAAAAGCCTTTTGAAACACAAGAACCAAAAACTGTGCTTTTTCTCAATAAATTTCTGTCTTCAAGCATGACAAAACTTGTGTTTTTTGTCCCCATTGAGAACACACAAGAGCTACTGTTTGTCATGCAAGTGTTTCATATGCAGTTCATTGTTGGAGAAATTGGATATTCATATGTAATGGTTGCCATATTTTATTTGTATTGAACAATATATTCAGTAGCTTTTTTTACCAGTTGTCTTAATGAATATGATATCAATTTGATTTTTCTCTTGTGGGGGGGGATTAATAATTGCATTGACTTAAGAGGATTCTGCTTTTCACGTACCTTTCTTTGGCACCACATGTCAAGAAAAGCTAGTATTTTATAAAGAAGATCAACTGTAAAGAGTGGCAATGACCTCTTTGGGACAAATCATGATGAACAACTTTGCAGATCACTTCGGTATTTTTGTGATCCCATCATAACCATTTGGCACAGCAAAAATAGGTCCATAAAATTATAAAATAAATTACAATGCACACTGTTTTTGAGGAATTTGTCCCTGGAAATTCTCTAGGTCGAAAATTCCAGTTGGGGTTGCTGGCATGTGAAGAGGTTTCTTCCCTTGATCGGAGCCAAAAAGCACAGGTTGGTCAGAAATGAGTACCATTGAATTAATTAACTAGAGACGTCCTATTGCAAGAAGCTCGGAGAGTGGATTTTTTAAAAGCACTGATAATTCATTAATTGTTTTTCATGTAATGTAGATGTTATTGGCTTATGAAAACAGTACCTGGTCCATTTGTTCCGGTGTACACAGCGAGTAAGCGGCACGTAGATGTGACGAGATCCTGTCACTCTCGGGGTAGAAGACACTACCGGGCACGAAGAGGACACCCTTGTGTCGCGCCTTCTTCATGATCAGGTCGGTCGTGTCGCGGATCCCCAGGAGCTTCAGCCAGAGGAACATACCACCACGGGGCTTGTGCCACTGAGCTAGGCCTGGGGACACAAAGGCAGGGGAACAAGCAATGCTAAAACAAGACATTTTACTCCAATTAAATTAGTCCAATCTGTTCCAGTCATGTCAAGTTCAAGTCGAGTCAAGCAACAAGCCAATTTTTCCAAGCCACGTTAAGTCATGAGTCCTGACTCTCATGTTTGTTTAAAAGTGTAGCTTTAGCCATAATTAATAACCAGGGTACATGTCAATTTTTTTCGCGAGTCAAGAAAGAAAGCCTTAAATTCCAAATTCATAAAGATAATTTCATGAAAGTGTTCCTAATAAAAGTCATGCAGTTCAGATGATACCGTGAAAAACAGATCAAATTTGACAGAACAGATTTCTGCAGAAATCTGCCAAGTTAACGCCTACATGGATTTGCAGAGATATTGCATTTGAATTGTATTTAGCGCCGACAACAAAATTGCCTTAATGACGCCTGACCTCTCAAAAGCATGATCTTTAGTTTACTAGAATTAGCAAAAAAAATTGAATTTGGAGAAAAGTCAAAGTCGGTAAGGCCTGGACAGTTTATTGATATACATGTAGATTACCAAGATGGCTCTCTAAAATATGAAAAAATTCTGAAAACCTTTCCTGATGGACATAATGGTAAGCATGTGTTTAACTGATGGCTTGAACTTGTGGTGATTTCATGGCAGGAATGCCAAGTTGCTCACCTCTTAACCACCTGTCTGCTGACTCCATGATCATGTCTCGCCGTTCCTCATAAAACGCAGCCACTTTGTCGGTGTGGTTCAGAAAGCCCTCCATGCCCCACTGTTCTAACAGCTTGAAAATCAGCATCTGTGGGGGGGGGAAGGTGGACAAATACAATTAGGGGAAGTCAGCAACCAGGAGGTAGTGTCTGATTCAGGTATTTAATGGTTATGGCTGCAGCTTTGCCACGAGAGCGCTAGGGTAAAAAGCAGTAGCCACAGAACAACAGTGATACTGACAGGGTCTGAATTGGGTTATTCCTGTATGTGTGACCAACAGACACTGAAAAACAGAGCGAGAGCTTGTCTTTTCAAGTGAACTGGGAGACGCAACGCCTAATAACCTGGCACCTGACCAAGGGCTAGCTTGTGGATCAATCCTTGTGGCCTGATGAACCAGAGAAACATGACCAAAGCCTATCTGCATCATGGAAACGTTAACAGACAACATGGCGTAGTAAGCTGACCTGTGCCATGCCCCCTGTATGCAGCACCGACGCCTGCATGTGCATGTTGACTCGCTGCAGAAGGTACTTGGGCCCCGTCAAGAACCCAACACGCATTCTACGATAAATAGAAAGAATTTCAAGAAAATTTCTGGCAAAGTGGATTTTGTGAAGAGAGGGTGCCAACAAATGAACAACAAACACAGAGAATCCAAGTAACTATTGACTGGGTTTTTCAATATAAATTTCCATCTGGATGAACACTGGGTAAGTTTAATAAGGTCGTTTAAAAGAACTAGAAAGATGGAAAGAAGGAGAATCCATGAGTCAAAATAAAAACCAAATGGCATGGATTGCTATACTATTTCTGGTTAATTTAGTTTGGTTCAATGTTGTATTGCGCCATGAGCATCACTTCTTGGTGGATACTGGCGTGTTATAAATTTTCTGTATTCTTATTAGCGTGTGGTAGTGGAGTCCATCAAAAGTTCTCACAAAAACTCGTCACAAATCCATGACAAGTCTCATCTACCCTTGAGCCAACTCACAATCAATAGCGTAGCTTTAGGTTCTGACTCTATTTCAATTAAGTTTCTGTACTTGTGAAAAACATCCAATTCTGAGCAGAACTGTGATGGAGTCGATGGCAACACTGACCAAATGTAAGTTCCAGTCAAATCGTGACAAAATCAGATGACATGTTTCCTCACCCTGCTGATAGTATCTTGGAGAATGAATCAAACCTGAGGACACGCCCATCAACGTCCATTGAGAGAAAACTCGGCACCTTAGGCTGTGGTCAGGGAGCAAACAATAGCGTCAACTACCATGCATTAACACGTCACTTACACTTCTGTCCGTTATATTAACGATTACACATACACTAAAAAAATTGTTATTGCATTTAATTCAATCACGACAGGTCAACTGCTTAAAATATACCAAGGTGATTGGAGCAACTGGACATCAAAGTATGATACTCAGCCCTCACCTTATTGAATTGAATAAAGTAATAGGGATCATCTTCCATGATGATCATGTTGTATTTCTGTGCTATGCTGTAGATGTCTTTCTTCCTCTCTAATGTCAAGCCTGCCCCTGAAGGATTGTCACCGTTGGGCACCACACAAAGAACCCTTGGGATGTCAGAGCTGGGAACAGACAGACAACCAACACATCAGGGGCCCACTTAGCAGAGGTGCTCAGCATAGAAATTGTCCCAATCACTTGGCTGTGGCTTGAAATTACTGATGACTCTATGGGAACTGGCTGCAGCAACTACCATAGACTTGTGCGTAGTTTTAAGCTGTAGCCCTGTAATTTGGCCAAAGCCTGTTCAATGAGCAAAAACAGGTTAACATCCAATCCTTAACACGTTAAAGCCAGGTCATGCATGAAACAAGTCCAATACTCGTCACTTTTACAGTGCTACAACAATGGAGTGTGACTGAGGTATTATAATCCCACAAAAGTCAAGCAGCCAGACTACTGTGTGACTAATCTTTTGTAAAGTTGGTTATCTACCCGTCTAGTTTTGGGCACCAAACTGAATTCACACGACTTTTACTCTCAAGTGCAAAATAAGAGTCCCTTTGAAATTGAACGGAGACCTCAAACTTGCCTGGTGCGATAGTGGGGTCCTTGTCAATACCTTGTGAAGTTTTACGAAAATTTCGGTTAGCTGCACCATAATTACACTGGTCCAAATTTTCTATAGCAGCCAATGCACTCAGGGTTCCACTCTGCTTTGGAATGTGACAGGAAGATGGCGTACAATTTTTATAGTGCTTTACGGAATTAACTGTAGTAGTTAGAACAAGCCGGAGAGCCAGGGGCCAGAAGAAATGAGTTTAAGGCAGGATCTGTCAAACTCACGACGTGGCTACCTTTCACTCTGGCCTTCCTCTGGGTCCCACTGCGACATGACTTCCCGGATTCGGTCTGGTACCATGCCATCCCCATCCACTTTTATGGTCAGGAACTCAACCCCCAGTGGCCGCAGCTGTGGAGAGTGTTACAAGATGGAGTGGGCAGGAGGGATGAAGACCGGAAAAGGGGACAATTCAAACAAAAACGACCACTGAAGACTGACACTATGAATATGAATACTGCAAAGTTCACAGAACAGAGCATGACCTGCACAATAGGGTTTCATTAAATATTATCTCTAACCCCCCCCCAAGGGTTGCTGGCCCTAACCTTCCCCATTCACACAAAGTTAAACACCCATATGGGATTTTGTGCACATAGGCTGTTGGACTTTGTTCTTCTGAGGTATGCCAAACCCAATGCAAAAGCCAGCTGTTATGGGCCTACCAGACCTATCCCCACAGAATTAAACACTTTACTACTGTTTAATTCTGTGTGGTTGGGGAAGATTAGGGCTAACGTCGCAAATATGGTGAAATTGGAATACAGGAAACAGACTGACTTACAATGGCCACTGTTCCCGGATACAGAGGGCTGGATGTCAGCACGTTGTCGCCTTTTGCCAACAACATTTCACAAGACTGTATAGATAAAGCAGGCAGACAGAGGTGAACATGCAAGCTCTTTCTCAGAAACATGAAATGACCTCAAATGGGTAGAGACTCTAAAGTCTGACAAGAGTTTCCCCCATGCAAAAACAATCTGGCCAAAAGTATTCACACACTTTTTTTCCCTCAACTTCCAAAGTGGACCTTTTGTGAAGTGCCTGTGGAAGGCTCCCAAACTAATGAACTTTTCCAACGACAATTCTGGGGTGACTGTTCTTCTCACCGTGCTGAGGGCATGCTGGCTGCCCGTCGAGACAATAAGGTCCATTTGACTGTCTTCGTTGGAACTGTCTAACGTTGGGGGGTTGTGTATCTTCATTTGCATGTCGATGAGCCAATCTCGCAACTCCGGTAATCTTGGGGCAAAAAACAGGGCAATATCCTTGAAGCTGAGCTGTCGATGAATTTGAACCCACCAATTTCTTGACCATATTTGATACCTTTAAGCTCACACCCAGAGCTCTGCCAATTTCATCCACAAAATGCATACATGTACTAGTAACAAATCCTTCATCATCCCCAACCTTTGAAAAACCTTAAAAATCTATCAAAAACCCAGTAATCTACAAAAAAAGGAATGCGACTCTAAAAATTCTGATGCTACAGCCAAATTCTTTATACCCGTCATTTTCTCTTCCATATTCCCAACCTGCAAGCAGTGACTGACACATTTGATGTTTGTGTAGTACAGAGTCAGGGTAAATTCTTAATCAACCATTACCCTACGGAACCCCTCAAAGTCCACCAACAGATTCTAAATAAAGCAATTTACAGGATAAAGGCAGGTACATGTACTGCTCAGCTGCTTTAACGAGACAAACACAGAAGCCTTTTGGCCTGTTTTGTCCTTTCAATGATCCCCTGCCGACAGGAAAGACAGTAGTGAACGTATACATGTAAGCTTTACAAAGCTTCCCAGCAAGAAATTGTGACATACATGTATACCACTTGAAAGGTCTACGTGTTTAAAAATAGAATACTGTTATTGTTCAATTTCAGAAGCAACAACTGTATCAATGGGTGGTTTGGTTTGGCGTTTCAAAAAGGCACGGTAGTTTGACAACAAAGCACCAATTGTTACACCCCTCAAAATATGATAAGCGTGTGAACTGGACCATGGTACCCAGACAGGGTCGATCTCATGGGGGTACACATTGGTGTATTATTTGAGCAAGCATCCTGTCTGAATGCTGAACTTGGAGTGATTCTGTTTGCTCAGCCAAAATGGAGCCCACAGTATTGATGCATCTTGACGGCATCACAGAGTATATATTCATGTATGTTCCACTGCCATCATCTGGTCCTGAAGTTCAGGCTTATACCTACTCGGCAAAAGGAGCTTCTCTAGACACTCACCCTGGCGTGGCTGTATACTGCAGAGCTTTCTTCATCTCAGAGGCATTCAGATGCATGTTAGTTCTATCCCTAAAACGAGAAACACATTGGAAATACATGTACATGTAGGTCCAAGCTACGCTCTCCTTCTCTTCAACATACATGTAGCAAGGTCTACGATTTCCTCAAGCGTAAACGAGACGGAACATTTTTTAAATATATACTTACTATCTTTCTGACAAGGAAATCTTTTGCTATCAAAACATTTTTGCTTGGAAATTAAGCTGGCTCACTGGGCTCTATCTAAACCTATCAAAGCAGCTCTCGCAGATTAACTCATGAGAATGCTTTCCCTGGAGATAGAAAATGGTCTTTGTTCAATTTTCAATCCTTGAAATCTATGTGACCATTCAAAATCTGTTGAAAGGCACAGAATGACCCTTCAGGATCTTGCGTTTTGGAAGACATAGAGAGATTAGAAGCATTAAAATGAGCACCAGTTCTGACATACACGTACTGTAGTGTCAGTGGGGAATTCTGTCCCACTTTGAGAACCGACTTACATTAACTGGAAGGTGGCCTCTCGGAACGGGAATTGCTCAACGTTGGGCAGGCCGGTTGCCATAGAGATGGTGCCTGGTGGGCTTTGCTGGAGGATCTCAGCTAAAAAAAACCGAATCCACAGATTGGTTGAATGTGAATACACTAGACAATGCATCCATTCCCATTGGTCAGGATAAGTTAACCCTAACCCTGCCGGATGCAGCACGGTGAAGCTGGTGTAAAAGACTGATGCACTTTGTTGCACTCAACAGAGGACGAAAAAAATGACCTAGAGCTAGCCCCATTGAAAATTGCCACTGTTGGGTTTTCTGGTGGCTGGCAACCGAAGCCATTTGGCCTTAGGATAGTCAAATTTTTGGATCTTTTTACACTGGGCATGCAGGCAAGCCACTTTGGAAAATGATGCAGGCTGATGTGCCTGACAGGGTTTAAAACCAAAATGGAGCGAGAACAACAAATTTTCATCTGAATGTGTACAAATCAAATGTCCCTTTGTTATTTATCGCAACCTACAGCCACACAATTTTCATTATGGTTTGAACAGTTAATCAACTGACGTCTTGAAGACATTTTGAAAGCAACTGAACAAAGTGTAGACTATTTTCACAAAATGACCAACTTCAGATGCAGGGTGCTGCTCAACCTTTGAAAGGAATTAAGTGATCATTCAAGGATTATGAATTGAAAGAGCTGCTCCCCATACTACCTGCCGGGCTCTAAGATATCTTGGTCTACTAATAAAGGATGCCGAAATCCTGGCCAAGGTCCAGAATGGATGGCTACCCTTTTGTTAGCCTTGTCAGCTCTATACCTCATTGTCATAAGATGTACTTATTACCAAAATAATTGCCCACTTGCAAAACATGGAAGTGTCTATATATCCACAAAGTTTCAATACAATTTGTCATTGGTCAGCTACATTTAAACGGGAAATCCCCTGAAGTAACAGAAATACATGTACATGTACGTACCTCCACCAACAAAAAAATCAAGCTAACAACTTACTGAGTCCTCTCAGAGGAGATGGGCGCCTGGCCCTACTGACAGCATTGAGGAACCGGGCGTAATTCATTTTAGGAACAGAACGTCTCACTGGTTACTCAGCAGTTTTCCTGAATAGCCGACACTGATACGTTTCTCACACGCAGTTCTGCAGCAAAAGAGAGACACGGCTGATCCAGGGGACTTGGACACTTTATCTTTGTCATTGTAAATTCGTACTGACGAGATGGAAATAGACCTAGCCAAAATCACCCAATGATACGGATCATGAAAAGGAAAAGTGAAACATCCTGGAATTTGGTTTCAAGTGGGGAGTAGAGCAGTAGTTTATTAGCACCAGCTTTCATAAAAAAGTACATTTACATGTAATTTGTGACCAGATGCTGGCAAAACACACACTTTAGTTTTTTATTTCTCAAAATAAAGGTGTAGGGTAGCCTAACTGGGGTAAGTGAAACACTCAAGCAAAAATCTAACTGTTGTGACAAACTGGTAAAAGTGTTTGATGAAATGAAGTTCACTTCAATAACTTTACATGTGTGAATTTTGGAACATCTTGGGTATTACTGAATTAATTTGCACATCAAGAGAGACACACAGGCCAAACTACCCCATCTTTTGTCCCACCAACCCAGCCACTAAGTGGGACAGCCATATGGGATGAGTTGAACACACACAGAAGCGTGTAAAACACTCAAGAATATCAGTTTATAAATGTTCATTTCAATCACAAGAATGGTAACTATACTTCTCCATTTCTAACAAACATGATTTACATGAAGGCCTACATGTGCATGTACTTGTGACAGATAATAATTAGAATTCAAACCAAGAAAGCAGTCATGTACATGAGTTTGGAGATTATCAATTTTTGCTGAGAAATGCGTCAAATTTTGAATCACAAAAGGTTAGGATTGATAGTGACTTTCTGGAGAAAAATTCATAAAATGATGGCTTCACATGTAAGTGATGGACACTGTTTTAGTCACCATTGTTATTTCTTGAAAATGTTTCCTCTAGTACACGTCTGGGAAGTGCAATTAATCAGCAACAGAAAACAAAAGTCAAGTGTCCCACTAACCAAAATATGTCACTCCAAGGTGCCACTAAATATTACCTCAACTTACTCATGGTTGCAATCCCAGCCAGTACTATTTGTATGTACATGTACATGTACCAAGTTAACCAGCACAGACACAACTAAGCAAAATCAACATACACACGTACATGTAGGCCCATCGCTAAATACAGTTTACTGGGAAAGAGCACCTACAGCCATCACAAGTTTGATACCTGGTACACAAACCCAAAGAGAGTAACCTGCAAAGTGCAGAGTATTTCACAAGTAAAAGCTTCAATATTTTCCTGGTTAAATTTGACTTTTCATGATATTATCACGCTGCTGATAAGTCATAAACCATGGAGGAATATGAAATGTAGTTTTTATTCCTCCTTAGGTATTGTAGGCCTAGGGAAAAATTAGTGATGTCCACAAACATTAACAAAAGCCACACAACTTTAACAAGCCTTGGGCCCTCTAACTGAGGCATTAGAACTCTTTTTTTGAATTTTGGACTTATTGATCCATGGAGGACTTCCTTCATGACTGGTCATACTAAGAAGTTTTGACGCCCCAGTTATCATGGTTATAAATGATATTTACACCATTGAACGTATATCCACGGGTCACCATGATTCGCACACTTAGTACTTTGACCAAAATTTGTTCTTAAATAAACTGAATTTTTATGGTTTCATTCTCACTAGCTGAGTTTGAGCAAAATACCGGCACTACATGGATTAATGAAGAACATTGGGTGTCACCGAAGCCGCAGGAACAACGTCGTCTGCAAACAAGCCAGATCGGCTGTAGTAAATTTTAGGTCACTATAATTCGCACACGTACATGTACATGTACGTTGCAAATGTCATTTTATGGGGAAATGCCCTACAACATCAACCATACAGTTATTGACCATAATGTCAAAGTCATCTACAGTACCTAGGGAATCCAAAAGTTAAAATGTACATGATGTACTGATGTACATGTAGGTCGAGGTCTAGCCCAGGTGGACTCCCTGACCGTACTACGTCAGTCGTAATGAAATAAAGACAACGTCCAACCTGGGATGATGTAGGTCTCCCTTCTGTTATTAGAACAGGGCCCCCAATTCACAATCCCCAGTTGACGATATTAAAAATGGAAAGTTTTGCAAAACATGAATTCACTAACCTTGCTTAGGCCTACTTTATTTACTTACATGATGTTCACTGCAAGCACAGAACAAGGAACTGCAAGAATTAGTTCAAGGTTCCACTCCACTCAGTCATCCCATTCGGCATCGGTTAATGGTTAAAGTTCAAGGAAAGGCCTCACCATCGGCAAATTTGTACTTTCTATGAGTGCTGTGCGTTGGTAAACACCACGAACATGTCGTGCATTTTGGCGCCCTCTAGCTCTGCTACTTGATAAATTCATTCGCTGAGCCGGTGGGGGCTGGGCCGTTGTCATTGTCGCCGTATGGTTCGTGCTTCCTCAACAAATAATTCTGTTCGCTGTTTTTTCTTTTTACTGTTCAACTAACCCCATTTAAGCATCATCTGTCATAGTAAACTTATGTTGTTGTAAACTTTTCACAGTCAACATTTTCACGAGCATATATATATCCGAATATACAAATGGTAATCTCGAATTTGAAAGATGATCCCACCCTGTTCTCGGTATAATTATTGTCCGGTTCGCGCACACATGAAAATGGGGGGGGGGCTCTAATTATTTCTCTACGTTCATCATACCCGTGGTACGCGCAACTGACGAGAAAGAACCCTGAAATTTCATCACAACTTACAAAGGCACATTACAGATGTATTTACGTGCACATTGTCTTCGACCCTACCCCCACCGCATAGGTATTCACACAGACGCACAAAATGCCAGCACCCCAACCCTTTGTGCAAAACTGTTTTATGGATACCCCCACTGATGACGATATATATTATCTGCTATTTTCAGTTTGACAGTAAATTCTGAAATAAGGAGCCTCCGCTCAATTTAGTCTCCCGTTTATGTACAAGTCCATTTTATTCAAGAACATATGAGAAAGTAGATTATGACAATATCTACACGTTCATAATTGGATTTACAATGATGCAAATGCAACATTTACACACAGTCTTTTTTAAGAAAGAAATTCCCATGGCAATTGTCTATTCATAGAAAGTGATTCACGAACAAAGACAAAGAAAACTTAATACACATGTAAAATACTTAAAATAATGGAAATGAAATTGGGACACATTATTCAATATCGAGGCATTTTGTTTTTTAGCAAAACTTCCCAAAAGAAAAAACTTTCCACGACACTGCTGGCAACATTTTACATTTTAGCATCGACCTGAAGTTAAAACTTCCAAAGACAAATCCCATACAATTTGAATCACTGTTTGAGTCTGCAAAATCCCATTTTGCGAAACAAATCGCATTATATGCTCAAAACACAACTTGGTCTTTAAAAACTTTTAGAATGAGAATTTTCAAATGCCAGGATTACACGCAACAGTATCTATTTCAGTAAATTTCAGAAATGTACCCTTTGAGAATGGAAACTGCTCCTCCGATAGAAGAGATCCAAAACGTTAAACATGACAGCGAATCAAAACCTATGGGCCGATCAATATTATCAATCAATATCAATAGTGTCATTCTGAACGCATTTCTGCTTATTCCACTCTGAATCCTCAAAAATCCTCAACTACGCAACTTGCAAGACAGCTTAATGGCACATTTCTCCAGACCAAAAGGGTTTTTCAAATCCCATCTCACATATTACTGGCTGGTCTCAAAATCCTTCCAGCATGGGGTGAGATTGAATGCACACCAACATGTGGAAGTCTCAAGCAGTAAGTCACAATGTGGAGTGTACATGCCGGATCCAACAGTTGGGGAAACCAGAAAACCAGAAACCTCTGGTTAACAAAATTCCCTCTTTTTGCTGCAAAACACAACATCTCTACCCAAGAGTTCTTGACTGAATAATGCCCACTATACAAAACACTCCATGCACGTGGTACCCATCAAGAGTTGGGCTGTGAGTGTCCAAAAGTCCTGGCTACAGCTGGAAAAGACATGAAAACCTATGGAAATCATTGGTTAGTGGCCGAATCCCTATTCCCAATGAAATGCATGTTAGCCACAAGTTTTGGACACAGCTGTATTTATGTTGCATCTATTTTGGAATACAAGCTTCATCAAAGGATGGAAAAGTAACCACCAAACCAGTCAGACAGTCAAACAAGTCCTGTTGAAATAAGACACTTGAAATCAGTGTTGATTGATTTGAGGAATTTAAGGAACAAAACAGTACTTCCTCATTCAAAACAAATCAGTGTCAGCATGTTGTGGGACCAACAAACATTGCATTGAAGGGAACACATTGCAGCCTATTTGGTGTTACTGTTCCCAGGGAACCAAACCCATTTCCAAATGTCACACCGGAATAGTGTTTACTTCTATTTGAAAGTCAGTTGCAATCCAAGTCAGAGACCTTTTTCAAATAAAACTGGTTTGCTCCTGAATTCTTTGTATCCGATGTCTATTAGAACATTTTGCTTTGAGCTCAAACATGCATACAAGCATGGGCAGATTGGAAATTTTCAAAGAGTCGACACAAGCAACCACAGAGGTGTCACCAGAGCCAAGTTTAAGGTGAGATTCTGCCCTTAAACCCCCATCACACTCAAGCATGATCTTATTATGCGCTCCAAAAGATCAGGCCAGCGTGACCAATTGTGGTGTGATCTTGCACAATGCAGTGAGAACTTAGTGGGAACTGACAGCAACGTGGTCAAGGGCTTCATCCACAGGGAGGTTATGTAAGCTCAAAACTTATGTGGCAGGGTCGTAGTGGCTTTATACTGCAGTGGCAGGGTATTAACCTTGTGAAGACAGCAAACATGCATAGTCTTTGCATATCAGCATCGTTGTAAGATCTTTCTTTAGCGTACAAACGCAGCTCGATCCGGAAGAAGTTTATACCGTGCCCACCGGAGAACTGATGGGATGCGCTGTTTCAGCCAATTTATGTAAGAAACGTTTGGAAACGAGTCGACAGCTTGCTACACATATACCGCACATGTTGTATATGCAGCTAGAACGTATTACCATCGTATTGTGATCTTTGAGGTCGCAGTGCAGTCGCATTGAAGTCTTTTACATCGTGGAAAGATCCAATTGCATCTTAACAGAGTTGAGACTCGTGCTCAGTTTAATGATGCCAAGAATATATTGCGAACTTCATGCACGTGCAAGCAACGCAGTAACAACCTATTGCAATCTTGAAAGAAAAAGTTTTCTCCAATTTTCTTAGTTTCATCCGGTCTTTGCCACGTTTTAATGAAATTTCACAACATAGCGGGGTTTTCCTGGTAATCATCAAAGTGTGATGGGGGCCTTAGGGAAGGATTTCAGAAAAATTGGCGGTAAATTTCAAAACTTGTGCTGATAATAATATTCAATAATACTCACTGTAGACAGAATTTAAAAAACATGCAGTGAAACTGACCCTGAAGGAACGCATTTGCCTTAAACATGACCCATGGCATCAATGAAACAAAGTGACAGACATACAAAGGCAAGGGAAAAAAGACTACAGCGGAATCGCACTATTGAGCAACCGATAAGCAGCATCATATATCCGTGTGGTGACAGGTTTGTTCTCACTGACTCTACTGTCGACATCAGGACTATCTACACTTTGGCCTCTGCTGAGTTTTGTGCCTGAGCTACTCAAGCTCTGGGCTAAAAGCTGCTTGGTCAGTTGCTCCTGATGGTCATCGTCAACGATGATGATATCGTCTTCCGAATCACAGGAGCTTGGGAGAGACGGCGTGCCTTCCTTGCCCTGGAGACAGATGCTGACCTCTGCATCAATGTTCTCGAACTGCCTGTCACTGCAGTTGCTCTCGCGGTCCAGTTCGTCTTCGATCCTCCGCCGCACACTCCTGGTCTCTGGGGTGGCCGCGCGAATGCGGTCCTCCTTGGGGGGAGGCGGCTGTGATGAAGTGGGTGGGGCCGTGTCTGCCTCCATGGCAGGGGGCGAGGACTCACTGGAGGGGATGGACTTTTTCTTGGGGATGCGGTAGCCACTAAGGATGGCCCGAGAGGCAGGGCTGGAGGCAAACATCTGCTCCCTGAGGCGGGCTGCCTCCTCCTTCATCTGTAGCTGCCTTGGGGAGAGTGTTGTCTGCCGATGATGTCTGGCTGCTTGCCTGGTAGGCTTCTCCCGCATCTGACCTGTGCCTGCTTTTTCCCGAGGCTGTTTGACGTCCAGCTGAGAGGAGTCTGACCTAGCGGTCTTGAAGTAAGATGTTATCTTAGATTTTCTCTCTGAATTATGACTATATCTACCGTTCCTAGACTTACGTTTTGTTTGTATACTTTCAGACTGAGCTTCCTCAGGCGCAGTCCGTTTTAGATGTGCGTTCTGCCTGACTGTACTACCTTTGACAGAGTAAGGTAGTTCAGGGGTATGACTCAAAGACATCTGAGCTCTCTTGGGTTCACATCTCTGATATAACCTTTGATCTTTACCTTCCACCACTACACTTCTCTTGGAGTCAACCTCAAGAATTTGTGACTCCACTAAGGGAGTCATGTCAACAGACTTCTCTTCTGTTTCAGACGGCTTTGACAGCTCCGCCCTTGAGCTACTCCTTGAATCACAATAGTAACTTTCTGTTTCGGATGAAGACGAGTAATTCTCACTCTCTGACTTCATCTCGGAGCGGGAGATGTTGCTTACGACTATGTCCTCTACGAGCTTCACCTCCTCATTTGCCTTGTCTTCATCAACGCTCACTTCCGAGAACAGGTCAAACGTTGACTCAGCCTTCTCGGGGACCACGGCGCTGAGGGCAACGGCCTGCTCCGCAAACTCCAGGTCCTCTGGTGAGAAACGGGAGACGTCGCCGCTGAAGATCTGCTGCTGCTTCCTGAAAATGTCCTCCCGCAGCGAGGCCATTTGCCTGCTGAGCTTCTCCCTCTTCTGCACCATGTAGCACAGATTGCGGACCTGTAAGATTGAAAAGACAACACTCCTGTTGAGATGCAGTCATGTCAAGCACACATTACTGTAATGACAATGCTTCTCTGATGGAATTCAACACAAGAAAATGCTTACATCTGGAATTCATGGTACTTAATCGATAAGAGAACTTTTAATTGGTTAATCTAACATTTTTAGAACCACGCCAACCCTGTTGAGCATGCATCCCCAACATCGTGTCCAAAATTCCAGTCTCAGAGAGAGCCTGACATTAAGGGTAAGAGACTGGTAGAAGTCTGTGGAATATGAGTCAGTGCATAGAATCTAATACCGTACATTTGATTACTTCCCTTGTTCTAATGAGCACGTTGCCTTAATTGGTTTAAGCGGGCATGCACGATGTGTGATAACAGAAAAACAATGTTGAATAACTCAAGGTGCCCCAACAAGGTCAAGAGGTCAAACAGAGATTAAATTTGCAATATGAATTAGAGCTGTCGAAAGCAACGTATATCCAAAACACACATAACTAGCCTGTCATTTACACTACGGTTGACTCTCATTAAATTAACAAAGTTGCAGGGGCCAGACAAATTACTGTTATAACTAACCAGGACTTTATTATAGAAAAAAGTGGGGGGGGGAATAAATTCAAGAAATTGGGATTCACCGAATTTGTTCTTTACAACAGTATTTTGCTATAACAGTGATCTGTACATCCACAGTGGACTGTACTTAATTGACTTGAGCCAATTTGCCTCTACATGCAACAGTTTTTCTGCACTATTTACCCTGGTATTAACTTTCCTTCGTATCATTCATCTAAGCTGCCATGTTTTGGCATTGTATTTTGGGAAACTTCCCTGAGTAAAAGGCTCAGCGGGCCCGGTTACTTGGTCAGGCCCAGTGTTCTAGTCAATGGTGGGTGGCGCCGGGCGGCACCACCCGGTACTGTAAATTTCCGCCCGACTCTTGGGTTCAAATTTGCTGTGCCGCCCAGCACGGATTTTCCAAAAACATCAACAGAAATATTGCTGAAAATGTATCAATTTGATATTTCAAGTTTACAAAGTTGCAGTTTTGCACTATTTTGCAATTTTAAACAAGTAAAGACCTAAGAAATATATTTCTCACAACTCAGCAAAAAGCCTTATTGTAAACATGCCTTCACAATGACATGGGGGAAATCCCTCCTGGGATTCCCCTAAAAACCCAGCTATGGGCTGCAAGAGCTCCGCTCACTGCGCTCACTATTTGAATATTCGACCTTCAATTTCATCGAATATTCGGTTGTACCAACCAGCAGATTGTTGATCAACAAACCATATACAAAATCAGTTGCAATAATGCACACAATTGTACATTATAATCACTATAATAGCTTCTCACATCTAGGAGTATCTCCAGCCACAATTGAAGAGATGAACAATACTTCTTGCCCAGTTGAAAATTTCTATTCCTTTTAAATTGTTTAATGAATAATTTACTTTTTGTTGAAAGATTTCTGTCACTTTTCATTTAAATCTGCTTGAAACAATCCTCCATAGTGCATTTATTTTCCTTTAAAACAAAAGAAATGTTCCCTTCCTTTTCATGAATTTTGCATTAGAATATTCAAATTCGGAAAATAATATTTGATTATTCGATTATCGATTGAATATTCGGTTATTCGGCACAGCCCTATGGATAAAGCCGCTGGCTGGCAGCTTCCACAGGCACACCGCATCTTTGCTAGCCGTAGACAATCAACTCAAATGCAACCTCAACACTTCCAACAGAGATCGCTCGTCCTTACCCTCTCCAAGTCCTGGCGGAGGTGCACAAACATCCTCATCCTGGCATGGAGGCTGTACTCCTCGTTGTCACTGGGCGATTCCTCCTTCTGAAGGACGACGAGAGGCTTGTTGAAACCCGACTGACAGGAAGGAAACGGAAGGATCTCATTAACTCCCTAAAAAATAGCTAGTAGCTTTGCTTCTGCAGAACAAGGGGTGTGCTGTTCACATGTTACACTGAAACCATGTAGCCATTTTGTACTTATCAGGTACCACCAGAATAGAGGGTTTTCTGAATTTCTGACGTCAATTAATTTACCTTGTACCAACTTTTGAGTTGTCAGCTCAATAAAAAGTCACGTTTTTGGTATAAGAATGTAAGAGCTGTGTGCTACCAACCAAAGAACAAATAATTTCAGTTAGTTAGAACATTACAGGTGCACAAGCAGTTTAAACATCAGAGATGAAGTCTGAGACTGGGGTAACTTAGCTAAGATTTTAAAAACACCACCATTCCAAAAGGCTGACATAAACCTGAAGTAAAGCAGGTTTTTTATTAGGTCACTGCAAACAATGAACGCAATCATGGGATCATCGGAAACTGGACTAACAGCGTGGAACTGATTGGATACAAACTAAAGTTGTTGGCATACTGTTTGCCTGCATTTGGGTTTTCAAGTGCACCTGTACATGTGTGTCTGGGAACCCAGCTCAGCTCTGCTCAGCCCATCTAGAGAGTTGGAAAAAACTGTATGAACTGACCAGTTTCGGGTCGCTTTCATTGTTCATACTGCCAACCGTACGCTGCAGTGTTTAGGCCCAATCTGCTGTATGACATACCTTTCGTTTCAACTTCCAATACTCAAACACAAGGTCGACGATCTCCAGGTCATCTTTCATATTGAGATTGCTGGCCACGTCCTTCGCTTTAGCATACTTGTAGAAGTCCTCGGTTATGTTTTGTATCCTGTGAAACAAAGAGCAATCAGCAGGCTTCAGTTACATTTGCCTGTGGACAATTCTGGTGAACGCCCACGGCATGGCTTCCGGACAACTACGGGAAGTACAGCACATACAAAGAGCTTGCCACATCTCACCTTATCGCTCTCTCGTTGTCCTTCTCCTCGATGGATTTCTCCTTCTTGGGTGTGCCCGTCGAGGGCGTCTTCTGGGGTGAGCCATCTGGGTCCGAATCAGGATTGCGTTTCTTACTGTGCTTCAAGCAGTAGGACTAAAAATGGAGGAAATGCAACGTAAGATGCCGGGCTTCAAAAGACGGTGGGGGTGGTACTGAAAAATGACTCTTTCTGACTAAATTAGTATGTTATCAATATGAAGTATTCCACAAGGAAAGTGCTTGTTTTTTTCTGGAAATAATTTGATTCACTGAATAATAAGCACAGGTTTGTCATGTATTCACATTTTTGACACTTTACACAAATCAACTTGTTTACATTAAGAAACAAATCAAGTCTCTGCTCTTCTTCATTGGAAATATTTATATCTACTTTAAAGCCATCAAATTACATTACAAAATGCACGATATTGTACTGATTGGGATGAAATATTGATCACAAAATGTTGATTTATTTAAATGTCAAGGTTATTTTTTTGTGTTCTTTTTCACCTTATTACTTATTACTTATTACTCACTCTAAATCTGACTTCCACTTCTTCATCAAGGAACGTCTTCATTTCCAAGTTATTTTGGAAACCACAGGTGACGTGATACGCTACCTTACAGGTTTTGACCTGCAGGGAAAAAAAATGTGCTCAAGTATTGCTCTTCACGATAATGCAAGAGAGCCACAAACCCAACACACATTTGAAGCAATAACACAGCCTAGGAAATATGTGCATAAGAACTACGTTAAGCTGCACTGCTCTGCAACTGAAAGCTGTAGCTCAGGGTTATCTCTCCCTCATTCACGCAAGTGTATGGGTCATTCCGTGAGGTTGGGGCACAATTTGTGACGGTGTCAATCGTGACGTGGGCTCCGTACAAAATGAACAGTTTTTTTCTGCATGTGGATTCCAACTTATACTTCTTGCAAGGCTGAATACAGAGGTATGTGTTATTTTGACAGAGTAAATGACCTACTCTATGGGTCATGACAGGTGGTAAAAGTTACCCATGTAGCAAGGACACCTTCACAAATAGTGCCCCAACGCCATGGAATGACTCGTATCACAAAATATCACAAGTCATTACCAGTCAGCCACAAATCATTCCAATTCATTTTGCCTTCAGTAACGAGATAATCACCTTCAACTGTCACCGTTAATCCATAGTTACTTTGACCAAATACGTAATTGACTCTACTGCGTAGTCATCTGTATAGTTACTCACCGAGCACTGTATACAAGCACCAGTTCTAATCCTGCATAGATTACATATCAATGCCCAACGACTGACCTGCAGATCAAAAACAAGCAATACATTACACTACTGGGCTTCTCACTTTACGACTTCGGACTTCCACTGGAAGTCATGACCTTTTATCAATTGGAATCTATGACCTCTCTGGATTTATACAGCAATCTCACTTGACTTGACGGTAACGTCTGAGTCCCAACAGTTTTGGCCCATCATTGTCCTTTGTTCCAAAAAAGAATGTACTGCACATCGAAGAATACTAAAATGTAGCATCTGAAAGGTGAATTTCCTACCGGTATCTGGGATATCTTGGTGATTGGTTCCATTCTTTCCACGCATCCTATGCTGACTTCAGGGATCCACAAGGCACAGCTCACATGGGCCCACTTTGTGCCACTTCTAAAGCACAGATGTAAGAAAAGAGTGAAACAATTCAGTTCTTTGCTTTCACCCCACAGAACTAGTGACGCATTAAAGCAGACTGTGGGACACTGTCAGCAAGTGTTCCACCAAAACAAGGCATATCCTGCCAAAGCAAGCTGGATGTATCTAGACAGGTAACAAATTGTGTAACCTATGCCCTCTCACCTTGAAAATTAAAGCTTGGTGAACCATAACTCCCCATGCGATTTCATGAATAGCCTTCTGGAAGCCTCCAAAAATGCATCAAGGTCGAGGCGAATATTGGCCCATTCTCTTAGGACAATATTGGTTTAAGTTGTATTGTTTGCATTTTATGCATGCCAGTTAATATCAGGCTCCAGAATCAACATTTCCTCACCGTCTTTTTATATCAGCTTATTTTCCCAGTCATGTGTAACATACCTATATTTCCAGGCATTTTTCTATTTCCAACCCCCTTCAATTGGGATATGCCAATTGGAAGCATTTACTGACCTGGTGCTTTTCATGGCGCCACCTTTCTTCCCGCATAGAAGGCATACGGGCTGGAGGCCCAGAGCACAGGTACGGCACATCCAGCTTCCCTCTGGGACCTTCACAATGCCGTAGCATGCCTGGTGGGAAAACACAAATAGGAATTCGATATCAGTTGAAGAAAATAACGTACAAAAAGGAATGTACAAGAAATTCGCAGTACCTGAGAGACAGACAGAAAGTCATAAGGGAAAATGAAAAAAATCCACGCTATATATGACTCTGTACAGTGTTCTCAACTTGTGGTGACATGGAGTTAAAAATAAGGTTGACTCATTTTGGATATTCAACCTTCAGTTTGATCGAATATCTGAATATTCAGTTGCACCGACCGGCAGATTGTTGATGAACTAACCACATACAAAATCAGTTGCAATAACACACACAATTGTACATAATGATCAATATAATAGCTTCTCACATCTAGGAGTATCTCCAGCCACGATTTAGCAAGATTGAAGAGATGAACAAGACTTCTTGCCCTGTTAAAAATTTCTATTCCTTTTAAATTGTTTAATGAATAATTTACTTTTTAAATCATTGTAAGATTGTAAGATTTTCATTTGAATCTGCTTGAAACAAGCCTCCATAGCGCAATTTTTCTCATTTAAAACAAAAGAAAATTTTCAGTTCCTTTTCACGCACTTTGCATTCGAATATTCAAATTCTTATAATATTCAAATATTCAACAATCGATTGAATATTCGGATATTTAGCAAAGCCCTAAGTAAAAATGAAGGAAACTGGCTGACTCCAGTTGAAATTAAAACCTTGCAATAAGATAACCAACGAAGAGTTTGCTTCAAAGATGCCACATTTCAGACTCACTGAACTAGCCCTGCCTTGAATCATTCATTCTTTCTTGCACCTGAGCTGTTCTGAGGTGCCTAGTCATAAACAACCATCGTCGTTCATCTTTTCAAACTTAAATTGCACGGATCTCACTTAAATAACTTAGAAACTGCAGTCACCAATCCCTTATGCAAACCAAATAACATTTGGCGCCATCCACAAACAAATGGCCACCATGCAAAGTCTTCAGGTGAAGTTACCCATTCTCAATTGACCAAGACATCAAATATTAAAGGAAACCAAAAAATGTCCGTCATTATGACTGAGCCAAAGGCCTAAATAGTAAGGAAAACCTATGCAAATACACAGCTTCCAGCAAAGGAAAACAAACGCGTTGTTACATACCTGATGCACACAGATGTCACACTTATCACAGAAAACCATCTCGTTCCCTTCCTCGCAGTCAGGCTGTAAACATCATACGCACAAAATGATTAAACAAATCCAGTGTAACAAAAACTGGTTTACTCTGTCCCTCGGGCAACACGAGGACAAAAAAACCACAGGTTACATCAGTGTGGGGGGGGATGAACTTTGGACCAGCTGCACTGAAAAATTCTCAAGCTTCTCTGAAACTATTTGCCATCCCAGTGATGTCAACATCCAGGCAAGACTTTGGTGATAATTTATTCAGGATTTGGAGGCAGAGCCCAGCCATGTCAAAAATAGAAGCTTGTGAATTTGACGCACTAAGTCAGTGCCACAGCAGTAAATTTGGAAGGACTCAAGGGAGAAAAAAAAAGAATTAGATGAAGGTAGTGATTTCAGTTTTGATTACAGACAATGAAATCAAGACATTCATTCATATTTATTGCAGGAACATACAGAGACAGTCCATTCGATTCCTTCCTCTGCCACACCCTCCAAAAAGATTTTAAAATTTTATGCAAGTCAATAAACGTACAAAAACAAAGCCTTACTTTTACATTGGTGGGAGAGGGCAGGGAAGACAACAATTACGAATGCAACTTATCATTTTCTGGAACATTAACTTACGGCTCTGCAGACATCGCAGATGACATCATCGTCATATTCTATACCAAGTCCTTCCTCAGTTTGCATTGCATGCTCCATGTTTTTATGGCACTAGATAGGGAAAAAAGCCAAAGATTAAACCATGTATATTCTTCAAAAACAAACTTCTGACTTTAAACAGCTGCAGGTGCACATGGGACAAATGATGACTCAATCCCCTGCTGCAACATACACATTAAATGTAGTACTTGGTAGTAGTACTTTATATCAAACAAACAAAAAATCATGTGGCAAATTCTAACTCACTTGTCAGTTTCTCTGCATACCCTTTCAAATGCAACTATATCCAACACGGCTGTCAAAGAGCCATTCAGAGAAATGCAACCAACAAATGCAACGGTGGATTCTGCTGCGGTAAACTGGACTCACACCATCCTAAGACCTATTCCTACACTCGTGTTCCCCACCCACTGCCCTGACGACTCAATCCAGCAAAACACAACACAGCTTTGACTGCGGTGGGCATTATTTTGCCGTGACAAGAGCTGCAATTACTGTTATACTGCCGGGGGGGGGGGAAACCTTACCTGCGTCTCACACTCTTCAATGATGCGCTCCATGGTGAACTCATCTATTGGAGGGTCATCTTCGGAAGAAATAAAACAGGAGAACATTATGACCAAGTTTGGTTTGAACAAAAACTGTGATGGAAGTGGGTCTTTGACCACAGCGCTAAAATCACTTGAACAAAGATGAGGATTGCAGGGCAGTGTTCAGAGGAGCCTGTCTGATAACCCTCCAAGAGTATTGCAGGGCAGTGTTCAGAGGAGCCTGTCTCATAACCCTCCAAGAGTATTGCAGGGCAGTGTTCAGAGGAGCCTGTCTCATAACCCTCCAAGAGTATTGCAGGGCAGTGTTCAGAGGAGCCTGTCTCATAACCCTCCAAGAGTATTGCAGGGCAGTGTTCAGAGGAGCCTGTCTCATAACCC